TGCAGAGACATCTATATGTGTATGGTCTGCACAAATGTGTAGCACTTGTGTTCGATCGTATAGAGGAGTTTAAAATGGACAGAAGACTACATCAACAACAAAATGCAGTCCAGATGAACTGAAGTGAAGAAAGCCTTTAATTAGATGGAAAATACAAAAAAAAAAAGAAAAAAGTTTTACAACATCCAGCCACTCTCTAAAAAAATTTAAAATTATTGTCAAAGCGGCCAAGAAATAAATTTCTTATGCCACTTCAACCAATTCACGAACACCTGGTATTTCGATTGAGTCTACTTAATGGTATTTTTCGTAAAAGTAATACTCCTTTCGTCTCATAATTATTGTTCAGTTTGAATTTTCATTTCTAATTCAAATTGTACTAAAAGTAAAATCTCAAACAAAACAATAATTTTGGGACAGAGAGAATATTTTTTTTTCTTATTTCGATGATTCTCAATATTGAAGAAATAGTTTGAATATATATCACACTCCAACTAATATTGTACGTATCCTTCCAAGGAAAAGGATTTCCATGGATCCAACTAGAAGTGAGCAATTTGATGGTTGGATCCATATGAACGTTTCCGAAACAGGTGGAGTTATAGGGGATCGGGAGGGTTTCCCAAGACAAAACACCGGCCAAGCCACCAACTGAACCAATCAAACCACTCCTTTGCCTCTTCCATCACATGCCTGTTTCTCCACCCCCCAGCACCACATCAATCTTTGCTAACTCACTCCTACATTATCTCATCAAAATTTGTTTTTTTTCAATTTGGGGGCCGTATATTACACACACACACACACACATACATATGCTTTTTTAATAGAAAATCAATATTTACAGCGTAAATTACATGAGATTTTATTTAAAAAAATTTTGGTTCAATATTCCCTATCACACCATGTAAAATTGGAATGGTAAAGTGCTAACACCATATATATGGTCGCCACTCATCAGTAACTTGCAAATCAAGCAATGATGATATATACATATTCTTAGTAGTAACATTTTATGCATATATTAAGATAAAGTTTTCCCCGCCCAAACAAATTAATTAACTTGGGATAATGAAATATATCTGCATATATACGTTTCTTACTCAAACATCCGGTGTTTCGAAAGGCTTCATTTCTTATAAATCAGACTGTTATGTCATCCAACTATCTGCTTGATTTTGGCGCGAAACTCCGGGAAATAAGAATCGACCCCTGAGCTGAACTAATGGGCGAAAAGCTCGTAACCGTTGAGTCTGCCCTTTCGTTCCCTTTTAGGGTATATACACCATTACTCCTATCTAGCTAAACGTCATATGAGTCTGCAATAATTCGATTCGTCCATGGTTTTTTGGATGAAGCAAAGCAGTTTACTGACGCAAACATATATGGGCAAGAGGGAGAACCCCACACACACATGGCTGGAGTATAGGGCCGTTCTTTTACATAAAACCGACCCGAACCGAACCCCAACCGAACCATTAATTTAGATCGGTTCGGAATTGGGACAACTTTCTTTTGGATCACTATAGTTTGTTCGGATCGGTTCGGGTTAAATTCCGAGTCTGAACCGAATTGATCCGAAAAGAATCATTTTGTATCCGATAATGTCATCAAAATATTACGATGATGTCATCTTACCGGCGCCGGTCACTGATCGCCAGAAAATCGATTTTCCGGCAATATCGCCAGAATTTTTTGGCCGGAAGTTGTTGCCAGCGGCGGTCGGTGGCGGTGAACGGCGGAAACTATTGAAATTTATTATTATTTTTTTTTGTTTAAATTAATTCGGTTCAATATGGATATTTACTTAATTCGAACAATTCCACTCTTTGAAATAATTGATCCGAACCGAAACTAAATTTTCGGATCAGTTTCGGATCGGGTCGATTCGGTTCAGATTATCAGTTCGCCCCGAACCGTGAGTCATAATGACCCACCCTACTTGAGTCGCAAATGTAACTTACATGTCCTGAAATGATTGTCTGGTTTAATTTTTTTACTTTCAAATAAATATATCAGTTATATATGGAGTGCGTAATATAATGACACTATAGGATATAATTTTAGTATTGTAACCGTTGATGAAACAAAATCCATATCTTAAACTTCGATTGAGAACTTAGAATGTGATTAAAGGAAAGAAATGTGCTCATTGAATTAAGTAACGAGGGGAGATATAAACGTGTTCTATAAGCATGCGGGTGAATGTTTGGATATGATGAAGAACATATATAGATGGTTATTATCACGATATAAGAATCGAAATTTCTAAATAGAACAAGCGAATCCTACAGTATATTGGTGAAATTAATCGAAGTAAACTTCATCATCACGCAGTGAGTTTAACCAGTGGCTCGTCCTGAAATAATAATGTTTGTATGCATCAACCATGTTGTCATATGGTTAGACGTTTTATACAATATAAACACTTGATTCAAATAATAACAGTATTAATAAGATAACTTAATTTTGTCATGGTTGATGTATAAAACATTAATGATAAAATTCTATAAACTAACCAATGTGAACGATGAAGTTTTACCTTGATTTCATTTATCAGTCGCAAATTCAGACATGGACATATAATAGTGATTAAAAGACTCAATAAAAGAGTTTTGTTTCTATAAAGGATTAATCTAGAATGGTTGAAACAATGATTTTGGATGTTGAATACGTAATATACCAAAAAAATAAAATTAAAAAATTTTGTTTGATATAAGATCAAAGATTCATTGCATGTCTAATTAACAATCTCTTCAATGACGCCATTACAGTGGTAGCATTTTAAACCAAAGAAAAAAGATACAGAAAAAACAAACAAACAAGAAATTTGGGAAGGAGGAATAGCTCAACGCATGTGAATTAGGACCCAAAAAAAAAGATTAACGTTATGTTTAAGTACGGACCTAGTTTTTGCTTTCATTTTTAGAAGTTGAAAAAGAATACAACGTGTTAACATAAGAATCATGTTTATATAATAGCGACATTATCTAGGTAAATGAGACAACGTTCACAATAAATACACGAGCTAATATAACATTAACAAAAATACACAAGATATAATATAACTTTTATCGATCACTATTTCTTTCTTTGAAGATTCTTCCCCAAGCTTTTTGACAAGTTTCCTACAAAGAAGTTTGGAAAAAAGAGTAAAAATATCACCACTCATTTTAATCTATAGGCCTCACTTTAAATTGATCTTAATTGGGTAGTAGTTCATTTAGAATGCCACTTGTTAAAAGACTAATCAAGTTCAACATCCAAGCCAAGTTCACTTTTCAACAAATCTGTAACAACAGATACGCTACCATATAAGTAACAATTTGTAATCTTATACTCTCACTGTCCCATAATTATTGTCCAGTTCAGATTTTCATTTTCAGTATAAATTGTACTCCCTCCGTCCCATAATTTTGTCCACTTTGCCCAAAAAATTTTGTCCCAAAGTTATTGTCCAATTTGACTTGTTATGGATCAAGTTACACATTTGTCCTTAGTAAAAAATATTATCCATAAAATCTTAGTGATTAAACAATTACTTATGTAGGGGTATATCCGGTTGTTTAAGGTAAAATATAGTTAAGTTTGGCTAAAAATAAAATCTTTCATTTTAGTAAAACTGGACAATAATTATGAGACGGAGAGAGTACTAAAAGTGAAATCTCAAACTAGATAATAATTTTGAGACAAAGGGAATACAAAAGATTCATCACGAATTTAATTTAAAAGAATATAATCCATAATATCTCACTACAAAAATTGTCATAGTTTCAATTGGAGTATAAAAAAGGAAACACAACAAAAAAAAAAAATAAAAAATTTAAATGGTCGTTATTGAAAAAATGGTCAACTTGGGTGCTTTTAGTTTCCCAATGACGATAGCCTTTTTAGCTTTTAGTTTCCCATGAGACATGGGCCCAACATGGGCCAAACCCAAAAAAAAACAAAGAAATAGAAATCCTTCCTAATTATATCATCAGAAACAGTACCTTTTCAGTAACTATATTTAGAGGGAAACAAAATTAAAAAAGGCCAGGATCATTGTACTGCACTAACCTACGCCGGAAAGCTCAGTACTCACACGTGTCAGCCTCGCAGTTCACTTGAAGCTGACGTGGGCAGCAAAAACCCTGCACTCCAAAGGCGTATTTTAGCATAACCCCCTTTTAGTTTTTATTATATCCCACTTCCACTTGCAGTAGAATAACATATATATATATTCATTTTCTTTACCAAGCTTTCTTCTTCCTTTTCTTCTCTCTCTCTCAGTTTTCTCCACCATCGCCATTTTCTCTCTCTCTCTCTCTCTCTCTACGTATATAGTATAGTATATTGTTTGTGTCTGCTGCCCGAAAAAAATTCTGGGTATATAGAGATTATTCACACTCAATCCGGTGGAGGTTTTTTTTTTTTTTTTCTTTCCGTTACAAGCCCACACGAATGCGATTTTTTTTCTTTTTTCATTTCTTTCATTACTACTCCGGCTTTGACTTATTACCACGTTTGATCGCCCCCACAGTTTCATCAAGTTTTTAGGGACTAAAATCTCATCGGCGAAGGTTTACCGGAATCGGAATTTTGATAATTGGCCGAGATTTTGTTTGATGAGAGGGAATGGGTTGAATTGAAGCCGTTTCGTATAATTTGTTGGTGTTGTATGATTTCTTTTTTAGTGTGTGATTGTTACTTGGCCGGAATTAATCGCCAATCATTTCCAGTCGGTTTTGGTTTTTGGTTTGGGTGGTAGGGTCATCGGAGCGATATTCACGTGTTGTCGTTTTCAGGAAAAGTTGAAAAAGTTTTTTTGTGAGTACTTATAGAGAGTTCGTCTCGATTCGATTGAGACAGGAGGGGAAAAAGGTTTGATGGACAGATAGATAGAGAGAAGGGTAGATTAATAGGATAGGCAATAAAGAAGAAGAGGGAGAGAAATCCAACTGTTTTTTTGTTGGAGAGTATTATTAATTCAGGTCCGATCACAAGAGGCTTGTGAACAAATGCCGCATCGAACCACTTACTTCTTTCCTCGGCAATTTCCGGATACCCGTGAATTCGATTCGGGTTCCTCAAAGTTTTTCGTGGATCACGAGAAGAGATTGGCGTCTACAACAACAACTGTCAGGGATCATCAAGATTGTTGTTGTGGCGGCAGCAAGTCAGACGGCCGTGAAAATGCGACTGTCTCTTCCAAGGTTACAACTACGGCGTGTACAGTTGGCGGCGGCGGCGGTGATGAAATCCAAGGAGGGTTGACGGGGGACAAGATTCATGGGAAACAGCTGGCTGCTTTCGTGAGCTGGCTGGCGGATAAGAAGAAGAAAGAAATCAGTATTGCCACTCCAAAGTATGGTGACGTGAGGTGCAAAGTGGTTTCGGATTTGAACGATGAAGATGATGAACGTCAACTCTTGCTTCCGCCCCGCCCACCTGCGCCGCTGCCACCAGCGGAGGAGGCAGCATCATCCCCTGAGATTATCGAGGTTGAACAACAGCAACCTGATTTTGACCGGCTGGTGCCGCCGTTTGTTGGTTTAGGCAGTTACGAGGAATACAGTGGCGGGAAGGAGAGTGCTGTTAATAGGGGTTTAGGGAGGCCCTCGTCATTGGCCAGGTTGTCCAGTGTGGGGAGTACGAGCTATGCTGGGAGCTTGTTTTCAGGCGGGACCACAATTTATGATGGAAACTGGACCAGTAGCAGCGCCGGCGGGGTCAAGGATTCGACCAAGACTATGAGAACAGAAGAGGTTGAGGCCGAAGAGGCAAGGTGTGGTGGTGTTAAAGATAGTGAGTTGCAGAAATCCAAGGAGAGCTATTGCTTGCAGCTGACGCTTGCGCAACGGATCACCCAACAAGCCATGCTTGCCTCCAGGAATGAGTGCAGAGGTGCTGTTTCTTCTGATGCGCTTACTGTCTCCTATAGTCTCTGGGTACTTCTTCTTCTCCTTTAATTTTTCATTTCCCAACCTGGTTTAAAATGGTACATTGATCTCTGTTATGAATTCATATTCATCATTGTCATTTCTGGTTGGGCTTTTGGTTTACATATTGACTTAATGTTGTAAATCAATTATGTGTGACATCCATCTGACAACACAATGTAATTTTTTCTCCCGTGTGACCCTCATAGTTTCCTTTGCTTCATTTTCGAAGTTCTCATTTATTTTTCGTTAATATTTTCATTATTTGAATCTCCCAGGTCAATGGTTCCTTGTCATACATGGATAAGATTTCAGATGGCTTCTACAACATTTTGGGAATGAACCCATATCTTTGGGTTATGTGCAATGAGATGGAGGAAGGTGCAAAGTTGCCGTCTCTAACTGCACTCAAGGCCATTGATCCCATTGATTCGTCTATGGAGGTAGTTCTTGTCGACAGGCGTGGCGATTCCCGGCTAAGAGAGTTGGAAGATAAGGCTCAGGAGCTATTTTTTGCTGCAGAAAATGATTTCATGTTAGCAGAGGGACTTGGCAAACTTGTTGCCCTTCACATGGGGTAGGTTTCACAATTTTCCTTTGGCAGACATACTTGTACTGTTGTACAAGGGTTTCTCAGACTATTCTGTTTGCTGGTATTTAAGGGGCTCTTTTCCCACGGAGCAAGGTGATCTCCACATGCGATGGACGTTTCTCAGCAAACAATTAAAGGATTTTCAAAGGTGCATTGTTATACCCATTGGTAACTTGTCCATGGGGCTTTGCAGACATCGAGCTATTCTATTCAAGGTGAATATCGGGGATGCTTCAAATTATATGGCTGGAGAAACACAATACTGTGCTTTCAGAGTAGCTTTTTATCCAGTTTGGATTTACTCTTAATATCCCAGTCAGTAGGTCACGCTTCAATGGTTTTGCCTTTACATGTTATTTCCACTCTTGTTCTGAAGTTTCCAAACCGTGGAAGCGTAGTTTTAAAACGTACATCCATTCTGCAGACTGTATTAAAACTATTTTGAGTGGGCTTTCTTGTAGCATGTCACCAGTTATATGCATAAGAATGTGAGAGTAACGGGACATCAATTCTTTTTGTATTAAAATTATTTTGTCAAACTTTGATTACGGGTGGAGTTCACTAGTGACAAAACAATTGGTCGAGTTCATGGAGCTCGTATGTATAAATGTTACGCTTTCTGGAATTTGGCTTGGATGGATTTTCATGGACCGAATTGCTTGTTTTTTATGCTTAAGATGTGCTATGGTGGTAAGGCAGTAAGAACCAATTTTAACAAGAAGTTCTTGTAAATGCAGAAATTGGCCGATTATGTAGGTTTGCCGTGCAGGATAGCTCGAAGCTGCCGGTATTGTGTTGCAGATCATCGATCTTCCTGTGTCATAAAAATTTTGGATGATAGGAAGCTCTCAAGGTAACTGAACAATTTGGCATTGATTTTTTAGGGGAATTCTTTTCATTCTCCATCTTTGTAGGGCTCTGTTTGCTTTTCATTTGGCGTTGTATTTGTATGAGGAATGTGTTCTTCTGTCAAGGATTGTGCCTCAAGTCTTTAAGAATCTTTGTAGGATGAATGACATTGATTCAGTACTAAGAACAAAAACTTTTCTGCTGTCTGCTCTTGTTACTTTGTGTATATCATATGGGTGGGTAGTGAAGTTTGTTACGTGCTTGAATCTGCAGTACGGCTCTTTTTGACGTTGAAATCTGTATTGTATGGCACATTTCATTTTATGAATAAAAAAATTTTGCTCTAAAACAAGTTCCATTATTCTCTCTTGATCTTCCATCCTGTTGAAATTTCTGCACATGCTTTGGCCAGGGAATTTGTAGTTGATTTAGTTGGGGAACCAGGAAATGTGCAAAGTGCAGATTCGTCACTGAATGGTGTGCTTTCATCTGTGCCATCGCCATTTCAGATCTCCCATCTGAAAGAGTATAAACATCCTTGCTTTGATGGCCAAATACAAAGTTTGAAAACCATATCTGCTCCTCCTAGAACTTTCGGTGAGTCAGGTATGTAATCTGTGACCTTTGTGTAGTTACAACGGTTTGCTTAATTTCTCTGCTAGGAAACTACCTTGTCAGTGTAGAATTTTCCGCTACATTGTGGTGATATGTTTCTTGTTAAAGACATGTTAGGGAAGGAGCTCATTCCGCTGTTCATCCTTGACTTCTTGGATGGCATACAGATTCACCCCATTAGCTTTTTGTTTTTAATCCACAATTGTGTAAATTGGTATTACCTCATGCATCATTTGTGAAAATATGCAATAAGATGGTCTTAGATTTATTTTCCTAGCAGATTATGAAAAAGAAAATTAGGATCATCAAATGTAGACTTGAAGTTTGTCAATTTTATGAACTGCAATTATCTTAATATATGGGCCTGTTTCTTACTTATGCCGATTGTCCTCCATCTTCTGCAGGCAGCGCGGGAGAAATTAATGGAGCAGAGGATGCAAGCATGCCTAAAATGGTGAGGCATGGAATGTATTCCAGAGCTGACCAAACATCTGGGAGTGCAGTAGTTGCTGTTAAAGATGCTGCTTCAGGGATGAAGATGGATGAATGCTCTATATCTGGTGGAGAAGATGTTACTGCTAGTGAAAGATACAAAGACCAGATCACTGTTTCAGATAATTCAGTTACTTCTGCTCCCGGCATGCCAGTGGCTAAGTTGATTTTTCCTGCTAAACCAAGTTCGATGGAGGTTGAGAACAGACTTGAAAGTCGCAGGAAGCCTGTTGCTGAAGGACATTCAAGATACTTGAATATTGAACCGTTACTTGCAATGGATTGGCTCGAGATATCTTGGGATGAATTGCATATTAAAGAACGTGTTGGTGCTGGTACTTAATCCCACTGTCTGCTTCTCCACCTTATGTTGTACTTAAATTTTTATATTTCTCTGCCTCATGGAATTGTGGGTTCTTAATCTATATATTTTACTTTCTAGGTTCCTTTGGGACAGTACATAGAGCTGAATGGAATGGATCGGTGAGTCACATAAGTTTATCACTTGTGAATTTTCTACGTGATGCTCATCAATTTCAATGAAAACGCTAATGAATTCCTGAATGATGCTCCCAAGATTATTTTACATTCAGAGTGATGAGTGATGCAAAGCAAGATTATTTTCTGAAATAGCTGTTTTTCTTTATATCTGGTGATGTTATGAAGAGAACAAGTACTAGTTACTGTTATGAAGCTTTTGTAGCTGAAATCACTTTCCATTTCCAGGATGTTGCGGTAAAAGTGCTAACAGTCCAAGATTTTGATGATGATCAGTTGAAAGAGTTCTTAAGGGAGGTATGTTCGAGGACACATTATTTTATATTTTGGGTTCTTATGACTACTCCCATTTACCGTGTACTTATTATTAATCATTGCTCAATATTAGGATTCATCTGTTAACCATACAGATGTGACAGGAGGGTAGATAACAATTTTCATTTATGAAGTTCGATGCAGATATTTTGTGCAGCACCAAATGCAAATTGCTCTATATTGTTTCTCTACTCTCTTGTGTGGGCTTTATATGTCGTGGCATGTGTTAATGACTGCATGGGAAAGTGAAAGTGTAACTGTTGTCTATTGGTGATTTCCTTGTGCTGCTTTAACTTTCTTTTCTCACATAGCATTTTATATTGAGCTGAATGGTGTTATATAATAGTTTCTGATCAGCGCTGCATGTATTTCAAGGTTGCAATTATGAAACGTGTTCGTCATCCCAATGTTGTTCTCTTCATGGGAGCTGTCACGAAACGTCCACATCTATCAATAGTTACAGAATATTTACCAAGGTGAATTTCCCTTGCTAAAAAGGTTGTATCATAAGTATTATGGCTTGATCACTGAGTTATCTTCGTTCCAATTGTCATGCAGAGGAAGTCTGTATCGCTTAATCCACAGGCCAGCATCAGGAGAAATTTTAGATCAAAGGCGGAGGCTGAGGATGGCATTGGATGTGGTCAGTGTGGATTCTGAATGTCAAATTATACTGATTTTTTTTATCATGTTTAAGAGATTTTCTGATGCATATTATTTGCAGGCTAAAGGCATCAACTATCTTCATTGTCTTAGCCCCCCTATCGTTCACTGGGATCTCAAATCTCCAAATCTCTTAGTTGATAAAAATTGGACCGTAAAGGTATGGGAGTATTTTTACATGCTCACTAGAAGTTCAGAAAGTTAAAACTTAATTAACCTTGTGGAACATGATTATTTTTAGGTTTGTGACTTTGGCCTGTCAAGATTTAAGGCAAACACATTTATCTCTTCAAAGTCTGTTGCAGGAACCGTAAGTGCCTCTCTATCTCTCTCTCTCTCTCTCTAACACGCGCGCGCACCCCCACCCGCGACACACAGCCCTGTTTGCATGTCTAAATTCAGATGTAACTGTTGCTGTGTGCATTTACTTGAGAAATCTGATAATCACTTGACTTGTGAAACCAATATATCCTTTTGGTTTCAACCGAGTGGAGGTAAACTTAGACCGTCAGGTTCTGTATGCAAGTGAAAAAAAATTTTAAGTGATTATTCATTGTCGGATGAATCTGTTTTTTCTGGTGTATTTTACTGAACGTTGAAAAAGAGTTTTTTTTTGTTTTGGTCTCGTTGCTGCTTGTGCGACCAGCAAAAACTAGTCCATAAATTGATCACCGGAAGATCTAATGAATAAGGATTTGTAACACATCAAGGAGTTTGTTTGCATAAGTAATGCCTTTCTAGCTGCAGTAGTTAGCCGTTTTACTTGTCTTTTGCAGGTATGAGAATTCTTTTTGCTGCATTAATCAGCATTTAACCCTCTTGCATTTCGTTTCAGCCTGAGTGGATGGCACCTGAATTCCTTCGGGGAGAACCCTCAAACGAAAAGTCTGATGTATATAGTTTTGGAGTCATCTTGTGGGAACTTGTGACTATGCAACAGCCATGGAATGGACTTAGCCCTGCCCAGGTTTGATTTATAAAGTTTTTCAAAGATTTCCTATGTACCAGTTTTTAGAGTTAAATTCATTGCCAAATACTTTGCTGTGTAAATCCAGGTTGTTGGTGCCGTAGCTTTCCAGAATAGAAGGCTTGTGATTCCACCAACCACATCTCCTGTTCTGACATCTCTAATGGAATCATGCTGGGCAGAGTAAGCATTAAATTTTAGTTATTGTAAAGATTAAGTTATAAATTCTCCCCCAAGAAGTGGCGATTCTTACCAACAATCTCATGAACAGTGATCCTGCTCAGCGACCATCCATTAAGAGCATCGTGGATACGCTGAAGAAAATATTGAAGTCGCCCACACAGGTGATTCAGATGGGAGGGCCGTAAAGGGGACATCTTTCAGTTTTTTCCCGTCAGGTTGCTAACTACATATATTCAGCGACTGTCAGGTACAAGATCTTGTATCGTCAACGGTCAAGAAAAAAGATTAGGAATAGTTTGGCTATTCTTGCTTGATAGAAATAGTTGAGCAAGGAAGCAAATGATAGGTATAGTGCCAATAACGGCAAATGATATCTCTCAGCTAACATGTGCCATATGAATTGTGAATAATGAAGCCATTCTCATAAGTCCTGGGTTTTTGTTGGCTTGTTTTGTAGAGCCGATTTTAAGGACACTGAAATCAGGTCAGAAACTCGATTCTTAAGTATATGGCTTTCATTACAACTTCTAGTTAGATCCCATGCAATTACGTCCAATGCTTCTTTGTAGTACCGCTCGTGTGCGACCATTTGCATAGAGTGCAAACTTTTTTACAAATTTTATGTGCGCAAATTATCCTCCAAACAAACTTCCCATATCTACCCATCCATCTTCAATAGTATCGACTTTTCTTATAATTCTCCTCCATCCCATTCTTTAAGAAAAGCCATCTATGCTCTACGGGACTGTCACTTCAAGGAATCTGTAGTAAGGACGTTAGAAAATCGCCTTTCCAAACATGGATTTAGTTATTATTCAAAAAAAATAAAATAAAAATTGTCTTTGATAATTTCAAAAGATTTTTCACTTAATATATTTATTATGTGAGTCTATATAACTATACAAAAGTTACATTTTCTGTATACATACTGCATTGCACACAGATACTTAAGAATGATTTTTATTTATTTACAAAATTTAGAATTTTTACTGAAGTAAAATAATACTTCTGTCTCGAAAGATTGTTCAGTTTGGATTCTCATTTTTAGTTCAAATTGTGCTGAAAATAAAATTTCAAACCAGATAATCATTTTCAGACAAGGGGAGTATATTTTCGAATTTTGAGAAAAAGTGATGTTTGGGTTCAATGAAGAACGAGTTCTATTAAACTAGTTTCAAATAGAGTTCGGTTTATTTGGAAGCTAAAACAATATATTTTTGAAAAAATATCAACATATTGCAAAAATAAATAAACAAATCTTCCTTTGAGAAATTATGAAAAAGTAGCCTACAATTAATTTAAACTTTGTACTATGAATTTTTATCACATACTAGCGAAGGGAGTTTCGTGCGGTGTGTGTGGTTTGACCCGGGTTTTTTTTTTTGGTGTTGATATATGATGTATAGGAATATTAATATATGAACTAAATGAGTATTGTAAGATGGATTGAATTTTATTTTATTGTACGGAGTTATAATTTATTTTGATTGATTATACATTGAATAATTATTTTGATGGATTATACATGGGATATTTAATAGAAAAGGAACACTTTGAACAAAATTTATGATACATGATTACGTTGGATATGAGGGAATATTTAATTCAACTTCAATAACCACAGTTCGGATATGACTGAATATTTAATTCAATTTCAATAACCACAGTTCGTTCTAGTAGTAGTGAAAGACTCGACCCTCTGTTGAGCACTACTTTAAATATGTATTTCGATATTAGATTGGAGAGAAATCGTTTTAACATTTCATCCATAAGTTGATACTTTACCCAGTCCATAAGCTACCACTATTTACAATCATGAAACAAATGAATTAGTAATAGGTTCAAGAATAAAGCCCTAACAAACAAAACTATGCCAAAGCAACTAATTAAAACAATATCCTCCAAGTTCTCTGTATTCCCATACGAACTTAAACTACATGTCAGCAACTTATTCACTTTGCTAGAGATCAATGTAGGACTGTGAATCACAATTCATCTGTGTGTGGATCAAATGTTGCAGTGGTTTCTAAGCCTTGAACATTAGAGCCGTGACCAAGTTCACTTTGTGCATAACAACCAATTATTTATATTTTGTAGGCCAAAGGCAACCATTTCTTCTCTTGTTCATCTGTATCCTGGCCTTTGATAGCATGAATAAACATAAGCTGCAAATGATGCTAGATAGCATGAATTACCTTAACATAAATTTTGAAGAAAAGTTTTACTTGGCAAGACAAAACCAATCCACAAACCTTAAAGACTCAAGCAATGAACCATGGCAAAGACAATGGGAACTCTATTACCTTAAAGTTTTGCTGAGTTAGACTTCACACTCAGTCGCACCCCGTGCGGCACCCCTCAGTTAATATTTTTTCAGTAAAAAAAATAATTTTATGAAATTAAAACGGTAAGAAAAAGTGCATTTTTTGGGATGAAGAGAGTATCTACGTTTAAAAATCAATTGCTGCCATGTAGTGAATGCATGTTAAAAGTTAGGACAACTGCGTTTTAAATACAGAGAACGAAGATACTAAAGGTGGCCATCTTGAGTCATGATAAAAATATTTTGACATGAAGAAAAATTGACATGCTGCATGATCTAAACAAATATGAATTGAACCAACTGACATATGAATTTTAAGAGATATTAGTTTAAGTCCATATTTTAAGAGATATTAGTTTAAGTCCATCTTTAGTTTAAGTTCATTATTACTAATATCTCTTAAAATCCATTAGTAAAACAAGTGATAAGGGAACCCATGCAAAATATCGAGACGCAACATCAAAAACACAATTAGTTGCAATCTACAATGACTACTTTTTTTTTTTTCAATTTTCCTTTCACCATATGTAAATGTTAGTGAGTAATAGCTAATATTCATTGACTTTGGGATAGAATTTGTAGCTGAAATGGGTAAGGGCAATTTTTTGATTTTGGGTTTCGTTTGCATTTTCAATTGGAGTTAGTTTCTAGTTTCATCTTGTGGGTCTGATTTGTAACCCTAAGACAAAAAAGGTATGCTGAAGTTATAGTTGGTTTTGCTTCTGCGCAAAACAAAGAAAAAAAAAACCAAAAAAAAATAATAATAATAATCCAATTAGGTGTAATTTGATTTGACATAGTCTCACTATATGGCAAAAAATTCATCATATAGCATGCTTGTTTAGGATGGTCTTCCAAATATGAGTTTTTAAAAAATAGCAAAGCAGAGATTAAAAGGTCATCTTCAAACTAACGTTTTTTATCAACCGAGAACTCTTTTAACATTCCATAAAGTCCCCTTGCACAGCCTATAAAATATGGAAGTAGTTTATTAACGGAGATCAGTCCAAAGAGTTCTGAATGATGATAACTGAGTCTTTTGAATTCGGCAGCTAAAGTATTCAATTCTGAAATTTCTGAAAATCAGGACTGATAGATCATTTTTAAATCCATTTTCAGAGAGAACCAAGGACTCTTTTGATGATTTGAAGATACGGAAGTGATCTTCGTCAAACATAGAGATCTTTAAGTGGTACATTCAAAAAATAGCTCAGGAATGAGGAAATGTACTCTCCAAAAATAGCGACAAATCAGATTTTTAAGTATTGACATGCTATGCTCAAATGAGTATTTTTTTGGACTGATTATATCTCTATCTAATAGGTCATTTAAACTGAAATATTCTCCACTGGACACGGGAAAAAGTTTCATGAAAAGAATTTCACATAAAGCCTTCTATACAGTTAAATCCAATCAGCACCTCAACAAGGTTTGAAATTTTCAGAATTACTTGATATATAGGTCATTAAATAAGTTTTCGCAGCAACCAAAAATCTATTTTGCAGATGATAAAAGGGATAATAAACTTTAGTGTGTCGAGGTTAAAACCAAATACAATATTAACAAAAATAATCGCAAGAACAAGAAATTCATGGCTTGAAATTTGAGCACTTGAGAGGGTTTCAAGAATTTTCAAAAAAAATTCTTAATCAGATGAAACTTGGAGAAATACAAACACCATTTAAAAAGTCAGAGAAAGCTCAATGAATTATATTAAATAATGGCTGGAACCATACAAAGATTTAAACCAAATGATCACAATGGTACGAAAATTTAATGACCTGAAGAAAATCACTGCAGTCGGCATTCAGAAGTTGCAGAATCTTTTCTTGTTGTTTCTAACTCAACCTTTCATTACATGTAGTCAGTTCTAAATTAACCGAGAGTTTACAAACACATAAACCAAGCAAAAATCCCTGAGACGGCACCATAACACAACTCAGCACATCCACTGAATGATCATAACAAATCTGGTGGGGAAGAATGACAAGGCATTCATAAATCCAGAGTACCAATAATAAAAACTTGTATTAGGAGTTCGAAATATGAGAGAATTGGTGAGACAGTACATGAGGGAGCTCTTTTCATGTACTGAAAAATGAAGAATAGCCATACATGATGAATTTTGGAATAAAATCAAACACCTTATAAGTAACTAATTGAACTCGCAAACCAAAAAGGAACTCCAATGCAACAAGAATTTTTCAATCGAAGAAACTGAACACGAGCATCGAAGTCAAATTTCCGGGTAAATACATGTTTTAAATCTAAGAGAATATCCAGAGGAATATACAAAAAAACTAACCTTCAAGTAAAGGGAAAAATAAAATGGAGAATCCACCACCTAGTAGCTTTCTCTCTTCTTCGACGATGATACAGACGGAAGGAACAAAAGAAATCTTAAAATGGAATTCGGTTTACACACTTCCAATGAGTAACTCCGAGGCAAACACGTATACCCCCAAATTCTGACATAGAAGAAATTGGCAACCGAAAGAAGATGTTACCACAATGGAGAAGAGAACGCAAGAAATAGAAGAAGCGGTCCAACCTAAGCTAGCTACGTCAGCTCTTACCACCCGCAACTTACCGTTAACCGTACATAAAAAGTGGTTCTGCACTTTATATAATGTAGATAGATGTAGATATACATTTTTACACTAATTTACATATTGATTGATACATTAATTTTGTTTTAAAAAAAAACAATTTAGATGTTGGAAAATTATTGAATTACACAAAAAGTTGGCTTTATGGAAGGGGGGGGGGGGAAGAAAATGATGTGTAGGAATCATGTAGAGAAAAAATAGGATTGTGTATTTGTAGTACGATAACCTCCTTTTTTTGTTGGCGTTTTTTTTTTTTTTTGACTTTATATATATATATATTCGTAGGGTTTCCACCGTCGACAACAGTGACTAATCTTTCTCGCTGAATTGTAGGCACCTCGCTGAATTGTAGCATTTTGTTGTTAATTCATGTTTGGGACTGAAACTATGATGGCATTGTGTAGAAATTATTTAAAAATTATATATCTTCTTTATTAATTATATGGGCTCTCGACGGTTCTCCCTGATAAGAATTACCATATATTTTTCTGTAGTTAAGTTTTTAATTTTCCAGAAAGTCACAAATTTTCAAAAATAAAAATTTTATAATTATTTTTGTAATTCTAATGCACACGCTACAAGTGAAAAAAAACATAGGAAAAGATATACTAATAAAATAAAATGAAAAGCGGATCATCCGTACAAAAAAATATACATGAATAAAAAATAGAGAAATTATTACCCCGTAAAATTGTGCAGTCAGATAAATAATATGGGTAAAATAATAATTTTGGGGAGAGAGATAATTTCTACACTAGTTATATCAACAAATAAAAAGTCGCCATAGTCAACCTTCTTGGTCAAACTAATTCTGCTCCGTGAAACTAATACGTATATAACCCGATCCTTTATTGCCCTTTCCTGAAGTCGCTTTTTTTCAATTCCAAAATTTCCAATCAGTTTGGATATTTCGACGCCGTTTTCTCCATTTCTACACTCCGATCGACCGATCAGAAAATCCCCTCTTCATCTTCTTCTGAGTAAAATCAATCAAAAAAAAAAAAAGATGGAAGACAATTCAAAGATGTGGACGGATCTACTTCTACAGGCAGCCATGATTCTGTTCACCGTTTTCATGCTTCTCTACATGCAGAACATCCCCCAGAAGTTCTTCTCCAAGCTCCGGCTCCGTGGCCGGACCAATCTCGAAGCCAAGCGCCACTTCATCCGGGGGGCCCAGCTCTTCGCCCAAGCCAAATCCGCCAAGGATCGCCCCTCCTCCGCCGCCGCCGCCAAATCCGCCGAAGAAGAAGCCAATCTCGCCATATCCATGGACCCTAAAGACGCCGCCGCTCACATCCTCAAGGCTCTGGTTCTGGAACTCCGGGGGCTGAAATCAGCCGCCCTTGAATCGCTCGATACGGCGCTATCTAGGGGTTTGGCGCGGTCGTTGAGCGGTGATGAGAGAGGGGACGCGCTGTTTAAGAGGGCGGAGTTGAGGGCGGCGATGAGTCGGCGCGGCCAGGTTGACTCGGCGATTGACGACCTGGTTGAATCGTTGAAGCTGAAAGGCGATAATGTCAAGGCGTATTGTTTGTTGGGTGAATGTTATGAGAAGAAGGGGATGAAGAAAGAGGCTCAGAAGGCCTATGAAGATGGACTCATTGTCCAGCCCAATTACTCTGTAGCCCGAGAAGCATTGGACCGGTTGGCCTCGTAGTTGCTGGCCTGGCATATAGAGTCCACTTGAGCTGAGCTTCTGATAGCTTGACAGAAAAGAGCAAAGCAAAATGTAATTTGTAATTTCTCTCCTTTTTCTTGTTTGATGAAGAATTTTTATCCGTTGTATGAATTCGACAAATTTTGAAGTCATGAGATGGGTAGTTAGTAATGTTTGCTGTTAGTGCTTGTATTTCTCTACTTTAGGAAATTGTTACCCTCCTTCCCAAAAAATGATTGTGATGTTTGTTTTACCAAAATAGGATGACATTGTTACACTAAAATTGGGACAGATAGAGGAGTAAAATACCTGTCATGAAGACATGCACTGTTGCCAAATGTTTGAAATTCAATGTAATTATGGAACTCGTCTTTGACATAGTCCAAGTTGGCTTGCATTGACTCGGGCGTTTACTTAAGCAGCAGCACTTTCTGCACCAAACATTTGCCATAAATTCTGAACTGAATCCAACGTGGAAATTGCAAATATGGGGTGTTTTTGCTTGCCAAGAGCTTTTCTTTCCGGCATTTTCTGGTTGGTAATATGTCTCATTTTTGCTAGCTCCAATGGGTATGTAAATGAGGATGAAAGGAGAGCCCTGTTACAGCTAAGAGACTCTCTCAATTACCCAAATGGTACTGCACTCGTCCAAGAATGGGTTGGGGATCAGTATTGTGATTGGGAAGGCGTATTCTGTGCCAGTAATTCTGATGGAGGTGTTCGTGTTCTTAATTTGGATTTGACCAGCAAAAGGCAAAAAGGGCTTGGGATATGGTACCCGAATGCCAGTTTGATATCTCGTTTTGAGAATCTTGAGTCTCTTTATCTATCTGGGAATTATATAGGCAGTTGGGTCATGCCTGAAGGTACACTCTAGTTTATTCATCTTAGTCTTGCTTCGAGATTTGGATTTGACAGATAAAATTGTGGGTTCTCAGTTTATGCTCACTTTGCAGCATTGTGCAAATTGAGTAACCTCAAACTGTTGGATCTCAGTTCAAACCCCTTGCAAGCTGATATTGTTCCTGACTTTAAGACATGCAATCTTTCGTCATTGGAGGAGCTGCAGATATCAAATATCTTTCTAACTGGAAGGCCTCCGATTCCAGTTCTGAGATGTAAGTGCATAGGGTGTCAAAATCACCATGAATTTCAGAATACATTCATTCTCAATTGATTTATATACTAACATAATAATGAACTTTTTTCCTGATTCTAGCATTGTGTGGACTGAAGAATCTTCGTTCACTGGATTTAAGTTACAATGGGATCAATGATGGTCAGCTTCCACCTTGCCTGCCAAGTAACCTAACCTTGCTTGAATCCCTTGACTTATCACAAAATAATCTCTGGAATTCTTCACGTGTAGTGGCAGGTAGGAGGTCCAATCTTTAAATACATCATCAGACAAATATGCCGAATTTCAGAGATGCTTCAATTGCAGATGCACAATCCTTTTTGTGCTGTTTCAGATTTATTCAGCAACTTGTCTATTTATACTCTTTTATCTTTCAGATTTGTGCAGTTTGAGGAATCTCAGGAAATTAGATTTAAGTGACAACTCTCGCGATGATGTTAGTATACCATCATGTCTATTTCATAGCCAATCACCAATAGAGAGTCTGGACATATCTCTGAACAATCTCAAGGGCTCATCAAATATCTTTTCAGGTTGTGGCATAACATTTTGCTCCTGTTTATCAAACGCATTCATCCATATAAAATGTGTTCTAATCTGTCAGTTGACAGAGAGATCGATTGGCATGCTTTTCATCTTGTATTTTTGCTGTTGATATTTAATTTTCTGATGCAGTATTTTGTGACGCTAGTTTTCTGTGCTTTACATCTTGTTCATCCTTTGCAGATATTTGCAAACTCAAAAGTTTGCAGATGTTGGATCTAAAAGGAAACTTGATTCAAGGAGAAATTGATCCATGCTTGAGCAAGCTGACATCCTTGGTTTCACTGGATCTATCCGCCAATTTTTTAGCCGGGAACATCCCTTCTACCATGTTTAACAACTTGACTTCACTTGAGACCTTGATTATCTCTGACAATAAGTTGACAGGAAAACTATACTTTGCAGCCCTGGCCAATCTCTCTAATCTTGAAGACATTGATCTCTCTAACAATGACTTATTGGTGATCACTGAGTCACCAAGCTGGACTCCATCCTTCCAGCTTGTGTCTCTCAATTTGAGAAACTGTGGTCTAAACAGGTATAATGGGAGTGCGGTTCCAAGTTTCATTTCCAGCCAAAAGAAAATAAGGGTCATCTTCTTGTCCTATAATTCACTCGTAGGAGCATTGCCCTCCTGGCTGTTGTATAACACAACAGTTGAGTTGTTGTCTTTGAGAGCTAACTCTTTTAGTGGAGAAATCCCTGAATCTTCTTCTAGTTTAGCACCCTCAAACGTCTTAATGCTGGATATATCTGATAATCAGCTGTACGGGCTGCTTCCTCGCACTATCCATCAGTTGTTTCCGAAGTTGTTTTACATTAATATGTCCTTTAATGCACTTGTAGGTGAGATCCCTTCTGCTTATGGGAATTTAACTGACCTGGAGGTGCTAGACCTTTCGAACAACTTCTTGCAAGGTAAAATTCCACTCTCTTTGAGGCAGAACCATACCTCACTGGCACAGTTAGTTCTGTCAAACAGCAATTTTCTGGGGCAGAACGTGCCATCTTTTACTAACATGTCAAATCTTGCCTATTTGCTTCTTCAAAATGTTGGCTTCAGTGGATACATCAGCAATACTATGATGAATCTTCCTGTCCTAAAGGTTCTAGATATAAGTTGGAATAGTATATCTGGAGAAATTCCTAACTGGTTTGATACATTCCCGAACTTAGGCATCATTTTGTTATCTAGGAATCAATTCCATGGAAACATACCAAGCTCGATGTGTCGTATGCAAAACCTAAATGTCTTAGATATCTCTGCAAATTACATAATAGGATCCATTCCTTCATGTCTTAGTAACATAACTTCCTGGAAGAAGGAACTGGGACTTCTGCTTCCTTCTTTTATGTGGCTCTCAGACGCTTATGTTAACTACAGAGTCAAAGTTTCCTTGACAGCAAAAGGCAATTCACAACCTTATGAAGGTATTCCTCTTTCCTTTGTCACTGCCATTGATCTCTCACTTAACCAACTAACAGGTGAGATTCCCTCCCAGCTGGGAGAACTCGTGGTGCTTCGTTCTTTAAATCTCTCTTTCAACGCCCTATCTAGCCTTATTCCCAAGTCCATTGCTGCTATGAAACAGATAGAAAGTCTTGATCTTTCACACAACCAGTTAGAAGGAAGCATTCCTCCTGAAATGATCGATCTCCATTTCATCTCAACCTTCAACGTCTCTCATAATAACCTCAAAGGAAGCATCCCTTTTGAGAATAATTTTCGAACTTTCGACGAGTCCAGCTATTTGGGTAATGCAGGACTTTGTGGACCTCCATTGCACGCATCTTGCAGTACCCAGAACAACAAGTTACCTGATCAAAATGAAGAAGAGGATGAAACGGGCTTCGCAGACGACGATTTCTTTTACTTCTCGTGCATTGCTGTTTCATATGTTCTGGGTTTTTGGGTTGTGATTCTCCCCTTAATTCTTAGTAAGAGTTGGCGTTACAAGTATTATGCTGGAGTTGATAGTTGCATTTCTATTTGCTGCAACAAGTTCTCTAGCTTTTGGAGTGGTTCTTGGAATTGTTAACAATTTTATGATCAAGATTTCTCCATTAAGTGAAAATTTCTTTGTGTGTTTTCTATAGTGATGTCCAAATGCTTGTACATAGTAAATTTATGATAGCTGGCTCGAGGCTTTAACATGTGAAACTATATATCGTATGGCGTTATTAGAAGGGTTTTGATAGAAATAGTGACAAAATTATACTAATTTATATGTTGCGAGATAATCAATTGGTTTGATTGAATGTAATTTAGTGATTCATAAATTAAAGACAATCATGTCAAAGTCACCTTGGACCATTTCAAAACCAATTGGTTTGTGAGTGGGTTGGCTTTTGGAGCTTATAAACAGATAACAAATCCTTCATGGGATTTTATTTTCTTACACCCCTCCTCAAGCCCAAATTAGCTTGTGAGTGGGTTGACTTTTGGAGCTTATAAACAGATGACAAATCCTTCATAACATCGATGTGGAATTCTATTTTCCAACACCCCTCCTCAAACTCAATGGGGTATTTGCACAACACAACATAATTCATCACAAGCTCACTCGTGCGGACGGAAGCAATTCACGCAAGTCCAAGTTAACTTGGGCTCCCATCTCAAAATCAACTTGAGCTTCCATGGGCTCTTATCTCAAAATCAATTGCATGTGAGTGAGTTGGACCCTTTGGAGCTTATAAACAGTTACCAATCCTTCAGGACACCGATGTGGGATTCTATTTCCCAACACTATTCCTCAAGCCCAATGGAGTATTTGGCCCATTGGGGTTGCAGAACACAACATAATTCACCACAAGCCTACCGTGTGGAAGCAATTCATGCAAGTCCAAGGCACACGGGGTCCACAGTTCTTCACCACAAGCCCACCCATGCACACGGAGGTGATTGACGCAAGTCCAAGACACACGGGTCTACAACTTTTTCGGGCTCCCGCATGTATGGATATCATTGCGATCAGCCCTAGACGCACGAGGTCCAAGACACACGGGGTCTACAGTTCTTCACCACAAGTCCATCCATGCGCACGGAGGCGATTGACGCAAGTCCAAGACACACGGGTCTACAACTTTTTCGGGTTCCCGCACGTATGGGTATCATTGCGATCAACCCTAGACGCACGGGTCTATAGATATCACAGGTCCACAGATCGTGGGCTCTGATATCATGTCAAAGTCACCTTGGGCTCCCATCTCAAAACCAATTGGTTATAAGTGAATTGACTTTTGGAGCTTATAAACATGTGACAGATCCTTCACGACACTAATGTAGAATTCTATTTCCCAACTCATCAATCGCTACGAAAAGCATTCTTGTTATATTTTTGTACCAAAAAGAAGTTAGAAAAGAAAAAAAAAAATACGCAGGCTTATATGTACTTTTTTTGTTTTTTTAATTTGCATTTTTCAGTGTTTCACAGATACTCGATAATGTTGTCATTGTCAAGTGTCAACCATGAAAGCCTTCAATTAATCATATCAAGGTGTATTCGTAGACATATGATATAACTCAATGAAAACAACGTGCGTGCTACCAGTATGTCACTGAGAGTACTCAAACACGGTTTGAAGGGAATACCTTTTCCATCTTTTACCCTTGGTTCTTCATCATCAGGTTAACCATTCTTTGTTATCTTCAGTCAAATCTAATAATTTATACTTATTAATTTATCGATAAATTAATATTTTATTAAATTCAAAGAGTTTTTCAATCCTATACGTAAAAACATACAAAAATTTGTTTTTTTCTTTTACATCAAGATAAGTCTATTGTTAGCCCACCCATAACTTTATAATTTTTTTGATGGAACAAAAAAAATGATAATTGTAAACATAAAAGAATACTTAAGTTAAAATCTAAGTTAAGCTTCAAATCTAATTTATTATTTATAGATATTTATTAATTTATGAAATTGTATGGTCCTATATTTACTTAAGAGATTCTTGAAAAATTATTATCTTATAAATTGATCAAGTTTCTTTTTATTATTTTTTTTGTACTGGTCGCGAATTGGAATCGGAAAAAAATATTATTTAAAGAAATTATTAATTATTAAAAAATTAATTTATGGAAGTTTTACTGTAAGTAGATGATGGGGAAAGTGAATTGTACTCCCTCCATTGCAAAATAAGTGTCGTTTTAGCAAAATAGAGAAATTTCAAAATAAGTGTCGTTTTCACGTTTCAATGCTTTTTTTGTCAAAAATTTCTAAAATTACCCTCAAAAGAGTTATGCTATTGGTGAACAATTTTATAATGGGGTTGGTTGAAAATATTCAAATAATTTTATTATCATATTTAAGAGTTTCTTAAACTATGTGCAAAATGTAGGACGACAATTATTTTGGAATGGTGGGAGTACCAAAAACAAGTTCCTAAACGCCAAGCGCATAACATTTGTTTATAGTAATTGAATCCTCTTTGTAGGCAAAAAAAAAAGAAAAAAAAAAGAAGGAATTATTGTTTTTGTCTAAATAAACTAATTTTATTTAACATCATCAATAACTCACAAAAAGCCTTGTACAACAAACATTTCTACGTTTTACTTTATTCTATTTTTAACTGTTTTTCGTATTTCAAGGAAAAAAAAATCATCAATATATCAAATGCTAATATATTTTCAGAAATTATAGGCTTTTATTTCGAGAACAACAAAATATCAATAGCAGAATTATTTTGTTGTTTCCCTTGTAAGCTCTAAACAACAAAGTAATAACAGAATCATTAATCAAAGTCAAAGTCAAAACAACACCGTAAAAAAAAAAATCAAGTGACAATTTCTAGGCAATAATAAAACAATAAAATGATTATTCTCCTCACAAAAAAAAAAAAAAAAGTTCAAAATAGTCACTTTATGCGTAATATAAATTCAAAACGAAGGAGGGAAAATTTCATCAGTATAATAACAACAGAGAACAATAAATGCTTTTTTCAGGTGTGACAAATTTTTTTTTTTGAAATCCCAAGTTCCCATCATTCCGGCAAATCACCAAATTGATTGTAACCTTCCGACAGTTCTTTTGTTTCTTTCTTTTTTTGAATTTGAAGGCATCAAGTACATCTCTTTTTGCCACTGTAATTTTCAACCCATTTCAATCATTAGCTTCAACTTCAAGAAAAGTATCAGAATTAATTCAAGAAGAATCCCTTTTAGAATTTACTGCTACTCTACCACTGAGAGCTTCTTGGGCTGGATCTTTGAAGAAAAAAATGGTTGATTTCCGAACCCAATCTGACAAGCCATTTCTTGATTGGATCCAAGATTCCAGTATTTCCCAAATGTTTGATTCATCCCTTCTGCCGGAGGAACTCGTTGACAACAATGCCGGGCTTGCTGAAGCTGCATTATGTGTTCCGGGTTCAAGGCTGGTTTCTACAGACAACATTTCTAAAGGTCAGATTTTGTTTCCTTCTCTTTTCAGTGGGTTTGGTGTTTTTTTTTTTTTTTTTTTTTGTTTCCTTGGAGTTCTTCTTTCTTTCTGATGTCGTTTCGGTGTTAGGGCAAGTATTACAATTTTATTGTACTTGGCATTGGTGGGATTTTGATTTTATCTGACGGATACGGAGTTCTGCAATGAGTTAAAGTTGTAGTCTTAAGTCTTTTCGGATCGGATGCAAATTCGAATTTTATATGAGATTATGAAAGTGATCTTTGGGATTTTGTGTAAAAATGAAAAAAAAAAAAAAAAGGTTGCTTTTTTCTGGAACGCTTTTCAATCTCCTCTGTATTGGAATCAGTGTTTAGGGATATTTTTTCGGTTGCCATTCTTAATGGTTTTGAATTGATCTTGTTTATGCACAGTAGGGATCATTTTGGGATGTTGGCTTTTAGTGGTGTTCCTGAATTTTTATGCATAAAAATTAGATGTTTTATTTGAGGCCTTTGCTGTTGCAGAGAATGTTGTGAAATTCGTAAATGCTGGAGGTGGGGATATCAAAGAAGATGGTGAACTCGGCATTTTGGTTATGTCTGATCATGGTTTTGATGGTGGGGATGTTCTAAGGACAAATGAAATAGTAATCGATGACAGTACCTTTGGAGTTCTGTATCAATCAGCCAGGATAGGAAATTTTACATACCAATTTGAAGACCTGCCTGCTGGAGACTATTTGGTTGATCTTCATTTTGCTGAAATCATAAACACATATGGTCCCAAAGGAATGAGGGTTTTCGATGTGCTCGTGCAGGACAAAAAGGTCGCAGTTGCTGTCGTTACAAACGGAATTGGTCAATGACACATATTTATTTACTCAATTTGAATTTCTTTTTTATCAATGGCAGGTTTTGTCAGAACTTGATATATACTCCATCGTTGGAGCAAACAAACCTTTGAGATTGGAAGATGTCAGAGTTACTGTTACAGCCAATGGTCTGTTATCAATAAGGTTCCAAGGATTATGTGGAAGCCCAATTGTCAGTGGGATATGCATTAAGGAAGAGCCCAAGTTTCCTGGTACATTACATTTCCTCTCGTAGAATCTATTCGCAGTGATTAATACACACATTCTGGTGTAATGCTCACGTTTCCAATTAATATTGAGTTCTTGTGCCTTTATTAAAGCATTCCAGGAATCAAGAAGGTATTCCGAGGTTAACAGCTTCTCTTTTGAGGTAAGCTCTTCTTTGCTACCCGGGTTAATACTGCCTATGGGCTTATTCTAAACTTTTATTAATGGCGTGACAACTGGTGATTTGTAGAACAAAGATTTGGAAGTAAGATCCAATGCTAAGTATCAAAGGAAAATAGAAGAATTGCAAGCACAATGTCAGCAGAAGACAGACGAATGTTACCAGGCATGGATGTCCCTTACGGATTTGAACAAGAAGCTTGAAGATGCCAGAATTGAGCTTGACAACAAGTGTTTCCAAAATCACTCCCTAGGTGTGGTTTTTCAGTTGTCCAACTGTTTATTGTGAAGATATATATAGAATAAGCTCTTTATTAGTTGTCGCTTGAATGCTTCTTTTTCCTTTACACTGCCACGATGTTAATTTTCTCATCTAAACCATGCATCTGATTCTTAATGTGCTTGTAGGTCAAGAAATGGCCCAACTTGCAAAAAAATTGAAGGATGTCTCTAGGAAGTATGAATATGGAAAGACTTTGTGGCTTGGATCTGTCAATGAACTACAATTGAAAGTTAAGGTAATAAATGTAATTCGTGTATTGTTAAGTAAGTCATCCTTCTGTCAATGAAATAATCCAAGAAGCCTTTTGCAGATCATGAAAGACGAACAAATCAAACTCTCCCAAGAAGCAAAAGAATCTGCAAAACTGATCCCTGATTTGACCAGGATGTTTACAGCCATACAGGAACTGGGTAAGTGGAAAACTTTTCCTGCTAAGATTTACTCCTTAGTATTTTAGCTTAAGTGTTCGCATTTCAGTGTTGCAGTCTGAGGATATCAAACTGAAGTACAGTAAGGAGCAGGCAGAGAGGAAGAAGTTGTATAACCAAGTTCAGGAAACAAGAGGTATCCTTCTTTTCTACTCAAATGATTTATGGCCAACACTTATCAATTGCAATATTATTGAATAGTAATGAGCCGACGCTTCTCAATTATGCATATTAGGGAATATCAGGGTATTTTGTCGGTGTCGGCCACTGAGTAGAGAACAAGCTTCAGCTGGGCATGCTACAGTCGTTGATTTTGATGCAGCCAAAGATGGATATATTGGGATACTTCCAATTGGTTCCGCAAAGAAAACATACAAATTTGACCGCGTTTTCCTGCCAAAAGATGATCAAGGTAAATGCAGCAGATACCTGCTTTATTTCTATGATTGAAGCTAGTGAATCGCTCCCATTCTATCTTGTGTCTGAGACTTTATCCACACATTTTTCATAGATGGAATGTGAATCGATTCTCTAAAATGGCTTTAATGATACTAGACATTTCACATTCAAGGCCTGTTTTTTTTTTTTCTAATGATTCTGTATAAAAGGACTGCCTATTGTCTATGTCATCTCTGTCTTTCCCCCATGGTTCTCATCTCAGCTCCACTCATTTTTCTTCTTCTGTAACAGAAAATGTATTTGCGGATGCTTCCCCACTGGTGATTTCAGTTTTAGATGGGTACAATGTTTGCATTTTTGCTTACGGACAGACTGGAACTGGAAAAACATATACAATGGAAGGAACAGAGAATAACAGAGGAGTCAACTATAGGACTTTGGAGCTTCTTTTTAGAATGGTAGAGGATAGGAAAGAGACTTTTGTGTACAGGCTATCTGTCAATGTGCTTGAAGTATACAATGAGCAAATTAGAGACTTGCTGGTTGACAGCCCAGCTTCAAAAAGGTAAGTAGTGAGATATCATGTTACTTTTCCCTTTTAAGTTTCACCCAATCATGATGACCTTGAATTTTCAGGTTAGAAGTGAGACAAGTTTCTGAAGGAGCAAATCCCGTTCCTGGACTAGTGACTGCTGAGGTTGATAGCATTGAAGAAGTGTGGAAGGTTCTGCAAACTGGAAACAATGCGAGAGCTACAGGATCAAACAATGTGAATGAGCACAGTAGTCGGTCTCATTGGTGCGTCGAACTTCTTTGATCCTTAAATTTACTTGCCTTAAGTTTATATTTTTAAAACGTTAGGAAACTGTTGTTCAATTAATGATGTTGCCTTTTGCTTCTTGGGTGGATAGAGTGATTTTCATATTTCCGTACTTTCTTTGTTCTCTTTGTAGCATGATCTGCATAACAGTGGCCGCAAAAAATTTGATAAATGGTGAATGCACAAAGAGCAAACTTTGGCTAGTGGACCTAGCAGGCAGTGAGAGGTTGGGCAAAACTGATGTTCAGGGGGAACGGCTAAAGGAAGCTCAAAATATTAATCGTTCACTTTCAGCTCTTGGAGATGTCATATCTGCTTTGGCATCTAAGAGCAACCACATACCATATAGGTTAACTTTTACCCTTCTTTCTTAAATGTAGAGTGGTTACTTTTGCATACTTTAATGTTCTCCTTGCGCTTCTCTTATTCCAGAAATTCGAAGCTTACACACATACTGCAAGATTCCCTGGGTAAGCACATTACATGCATCGCTAACTGCTCTAGGTAGATTTCGTTGATGGACTTGTATTATTTGGTTGCTAAAAGCCTTGAATTGGATGTCTTTTAGGGGGTGATTCGAAAACTTTGATGTTTGTGCAAATCAGCCCTCTGGAACAAGATTTGGGCGAGACTTTAAGCTCATTGAATTTTGCGACTCGTGTTAGAGGGGTTGAGTTGGGTCCAGCAAAAAAACAGATTGACTTGGGGGAGCTTCAGAAACTCAAATTACAGGCAAGAATAACAATTATTATGCGTTCTTAAGAGATCCACATGCTTGATTTCTCATCCTGAGATAATCTGGAGTGCATCTTGTTGTAGCCTGCCTCTATATTAGTTTTCTATGCTTTTTCTGGACATGACTGATGTTTACTTTGCCATATTTCTGAGTCCAAGTTTAGCAAGTGGTCTGCATGAAAGGGACCTGTCTAGTACAATAATGTCAAAAATATCATAATCCATTCTCTTTTCTGTCTTCTGTAGCTTGATAAATCAAAGCAAGAATCCAAATCCAAGGATGAAGCCTTACAGAAGTTGGAAGAGAATCTGCGAATTTTAGAATCTAAGGCCAAAGGCAAGGAGCAATTTGGCAGAAGCCAACAAGACAAGGTTAATGAATTGGAAAACCAGCTCTTGTTGAAGGCAGATTTGTGCAGACAAATGGATCGTCAATTGACAGAACTCTCCATGAAAGTGAGAGTTGGAGAAGATGTTCGAGTAAATCTTCAGCAAAAGGTAGGCAGATATTCAAACTCCATTGCTTCCTTTACTATGTAAACTATCAAATTTATACTATGGTTCTTCACATAATGTAGTTGCATGACATGGAGAAAAGGCTTTCAGAGAGGGACGACACTGAGAGCACTGTCCTGCAGCAAAAGGTTGGTGCAATACTTCTGCCATAAATAGAATATTGTTTTATGGAATGCTTCCTTGTAAGTAAAAACAATATCAGTTTGGAGATACCTTCAGGTTTTCTGTTCTGAAGTGAATGACTACATGGGGTCGGCACATTTCTGTTTATAAGTGATGGGAATAACAATTCATGGAACTATGGTTTCTTTCTCTAAGCAAAAGACAATGTTATGCTTGAGCTTCCAGTAAAAATTGAATGATAATTTGATTTCTCATTGTATGATAGGTAAAGCAACTTGAAAAGACTTTAAAAGTAAGAACAGAGGAGTTTGACGTTCAGACAGCCATTCTTCAGAAAAAGGTACTTAGTTTTGCTGGTCTCAACACAGTGGTAGAGGTCTCTTCTTAAAACTTTAATCTTCTCCGCAGACTGTCCCCCCAGATTAATATATAGCTTGTCTTGTCTCAACCCCTCTCCCATGATTGCCTTGGTTCACTATCATATTCTGCATCTTTTTGTTATATGATAAGTTTAAGGAAATGAGATTTGTTCTCAGATGCATTATGGTTTTTTATTACTGTAGTGACTTGTAAAATGTGATTTCTACTGCGAACACAGGTTAAGGAACTTGAGCAGAAGTTGGAAAAGCAAGGAGGTAGCATTGGGAATCTACTTCATAAAAAGGTATAATTCTTGCCATTTTACTGGTGAAACATGTTAATGTGGTTGCATTCCAAGTACCTCACAAAATCTCAACCCCACCATCGTATCTCAGATTGAAGAGCTTGAAGAGAAGTTGACCGAGTCTGACAAACATTTGGAAAGTTTGTTACCATTTGGTGCTTCTGATGAAAAGTCGCAGATCAGTTCAAAAGCAAGACAAGCCACATCAATAGATGGTGAAATGAAATCAGATCCCTGGACTCAAGGCTTAAAGTCACGTAACCGGTTGTCAGGACAGAACTCTGTTTTGCTTAAAGGAACTGAATCACTGAATCATTTGCGACAGAAGCAGGATTACCAGAACCGGAGAAGTGAGATCAACAGCTTAAGCTTGTCCATGAATCGTTCGACTGAAAAGAAATTGTCTTTGCCAGCTGAACCAAATATAGGCCGTCATAGTATTGACCCTTCGAAAGCATTTGCAAGAGTTACAAGAACAACTAAATCCTTCTCTAGTAGAATCAGCAGAGAACCTGCACCATTAATAAAAGAACGGGGCACAAGCGCTAGAGTTTGGTTGTAATATATAAGGGCTGTTTTCCCCTTTAAAAGGGAACTAATAATAGATGAATTTGTTTACAACTAGTAAACAACCTCATGATCTTAGCTGTTTCCTTAATTACATTAAATTTTTAAACTTGACAGTCTGTGAACATTGACGTTGGAGTTTAGAGTCCCCCATTTATCGAATTATTAGAGGATCATTGAATTTCAGAAACAAAAACAAAATCTTTTCTGCCTACAAACTGACGATATATAGTTATCAACTATCAACTAATTAGCTGTCGTGTCCAAAATCTCATATTATTATGTATTTTATGATGATGTGAAGGTGTCATCGGTCATATTACGTCGCTTCATACTGCCTCGCATTGCATGGTGTCTGGACTGTAAAATTTCATTATCATGTGAAAGATCGTCGAAAAGTATATTATTGAACTCATTTCGAAACAGAAGGGAATCTTATCTAAAATCTTTTTCTTTCCAAAATTCCATACATTAAAAAAAAAATAATAAATCAAGCAATTAAAAAGGCGGTGAGCAAAATTTAAACTGCCAGCGGCATTTGGCATAACAAAATGTACTGTACATTTGGCCTTCAATTGGCCTTTCTCTAAACCAATTTTGCTTTCATCAAATTATTTTCGACAAGAGATACCTTATATCTACATATTTTTGTCTTCTCTAATCATAACTGCACTTCTTAACCAAACCCAAAGCCTTCGTTTGCCTCATGAATTGCCAGTAGAAGCCTCTCTTGTAAATGCTCTTTAGAAGGATACTCCGGTAGATCTAACTGGTTAAAGCTGCAAAAACCAAACACAAGAGGAGTTTCAGCCAACACAGGCATTTCACTAAAGAGTTTAAAAGTAAAATTCTCCTTTTTATTTTTACCATGTATGTGCCGAAGGCAAGTGATCAGGACTGCCATAGGCCTTGTGAATCTGAAATTTCTGCGAACCAGAAATGCCTTGAAGTGCACTAAATCCTTCTAAAGGAACCTGTGACAAAAGAACATCGTTCAAACAAAAATATTCCAGAATAAAAACCTTTCACTTTGACTACTGCCTACTTAAGCTTCCATTTAATGTCAAGCTATAGACATCGAAGTCATGCAACAATATTCATGGATTCAGGTTTCTAGTCATTCAGCATAATTGGTGAGATACTTGAATTGTTTAATTCATCAGGCAAACAAACTTAACCCCAAGAACCACTTCCACCAACTGATCAATCACCAATTGGCGGGAAGTAACAGAGATACAGAAGGATGAAGTTGACTAAAATTATTTTGCCATTGTAATACCTTTGATGTTCCTGTCACAAATTGTAGCAAGCGAGCCTTATCTTCCTTGCTAAAACCTTGAACCACCTCCCAAAACCACTGAATTATAGGAGATGCCGCACTATAACCAGAGTACTCAGTATTCGCCCTCAAGTCATCCACTGAAATGAACACAAGAATACCAATGAGAAAGAGGAGAATGCAATATAACATCACATCTTCATAATAGGTGTCTATGGTTTTCCTTTTCTGTTCATTGAAACTATCTTCGCAGTCTCTGGGCCACCCTACTGAAAGAAGGTAAACAATGCAAGTAACTTACAGTCAATTTCTGGAAGCCCACTGATTAGCAACTCTAATTCCTTGTCATTAAAAATGGATATCAAGTCTCGCGTAATCATTTCATTGAATCCTTCCAAAAATGCATTAATCTGGGGACGAATGGCAGTAGTCAAACGATGTTCAGCAACAAGATCTACATATTGGTGCTTGTTTTGCTCAGTGACTCTTGTATTTCGACCACCAGGAATGAGTTCATAGTCAGTAACCTACACAGTAATTGGATGAGTTAGATTAAGAAGAATAAAACTTTCATGCAAAATACAAATTCTAAACAAGGAATGAAATCCATACTTCTGTCCGTTCATATAATATCAACTTCTCTTCATCAGCATCAATGCTAAACGTCAGATCCAGTATATCACTGATATCATTCTGCAAAAAGAATTCAAGGGTTACCACGAAATCAAGAGTTATGGACAAGCAAAAGTGGAAGTAGAAAAAGACACAGAAAGTTCAAACCTCGAGCAGCCAACACAAATTTTTGAAGTAGTCAGGATCAATAGCTTCAATGTCATGATAGGTCACCTTCGCCCCCAAAATATGCTTGTAAAATGACCGTGTAAAATGGACATCAAGAAGCTGTCCATCAAACAAAGCCTTTCCAACCTGTTAAAATATAATGGTAAGCACCAAAATTGGGAAAACACGCCAAATTTAACCATAAACAAACTCATCAAAGAAAATATAATACTCACAACACGACCAACAAATTTGAAGTACGAAAGGTGTTCTGTTTGGAATACTGAATTTGGATTGGGCTGAAATGTTGATTCATTGCCAACTGTGGTGAAAAGTAGCGCTCCTTTATCAAAAATTACCCTTGACAACAATTGATACCATTCCCTTGTAAGTCCACCAGCATCAATTCCTTCCTCACCCTGGAAGTGGACGGTCAACCTGCCTTTCAGTTCTTGCGCAGTCCTCATTCGTAACTGATTATATGAATCTTCAAGAATGTAAGCTCTTCTAACAGAAATTCTTAAAGGACTATGATGATGCTCATGCTGATGTTTAATCTTGGATCTAAAATGCGAACGCTTATTGTCAAAATCAATAAAGCGCGGGACCTTCAACATGAGGGAGAAAGACTTCTCAAGTAAACCAGGATTTTGCCGAATGAAAGCATTTAGAAGCTTCCTATGCTTATCTGAGAATTTCACAAAAGCTACTTGTTTTTCATCACCCTTCACTAAAGGTCCTGGTAACTTTTGCTGACTGGAAGAAGCAACAGCTTCCTCAACCTCAGAAACTGAAGTAAGATTGAAATCATGCAAGGCTCCTGGTTCTTCTGGATGCAACTTCTCACACATAACAAAAAATGATTCAATATATGGCAAGATATTCTGACTGCCTGCAGGAAGGGGAGGCATGACACCAGATTGCTTAGATGTTAAAAGCATAGTGGACTGCATCAAATCAGGTGCTGCATCAGAGTAACTCTCCATCTTGCTTATGCATGTACTCAACTCCAACCACAATGGCTCCAGCGCTGCATTGATGTCCTTAACAAGAGAAACAGTCATAGAACGCTCGCCCTCAGACAAAATCTGATTACTCTTCTCATTGAGGGCAGCGACAAGAGAACTTAAAGCTTGCAAAACCCGCAAAATTGCTGCTCCATCAGATGAAGTTGAACTAAGAAGGGCTTTTTCTACTTCTCCGAAAATGTGCAACTCATCCATTGCAGACTTGATTAAACTTTGTACAGACCTGGCCAGCTCCGTTATGAATAAGTGACAATGAACAGGAGAAATTGCAACCAACTTTTTCATAACTTCTGCCACAAGAGTGTAGGCATTATCTGACAGACTGACAAGAGAGAAAAAAGCATGTCAAAACAACATAGCAGAACATAATATCTATCATCTCTCTACATAGCCACAACAACCCCCCCCCCCCAACACACACAAAAAAAACTAGATAAACAAAATAAAATATTAAAAATCAGCACTTGGTGGGGGGGGGGGAGGATCTTCAGATGCGTAATAGTTAAATTAAATACTATACAATATGACAGCTGTACCAAATCAATAGCAAAGCATGCGGCAATATAGAGACCCAACTTCCAGGGGAAACTCAGAATTGGTTCAATTTAATTCCACAGGCTTGATTTAAATCAAAACAAGAAGCCATATACAAAAGAACAAGCCAGCAAACTCATAATAGGACAGCCTGTGGAACAAAAAGAGAACGAAATAGAAAGATGAACTAACATACCCTTCTCTTGCAAGCAATGAACAAAGAAGCCGAAGCTCTACTTGTGGCAGCTTAACAAGAGCATTAGTCAAGTTGCCTTCAGTATCAGTGCCAGATAACACTTTTCCAGAATCGACCTCATTCAACGCAACACCAGAACCAGTATTCATATCAATATCTGCATCCGAAATTTGAGGACCAGGCTGTTGTTCAGGACCAGATGAGCGGGCATCATCGGATGAATTTGCTTTACTTTCGGCATTGTCAATGATAACATCCAATAAATGTAGCAGCTATAAACAACCAAGGTTACGTAAGATACTCAGAAGTTGCACATCTCTATCAAATTTTAATACTGAGAACGGACGAATCATGAACGCAAAATCACCTGTTCAAGATGTGCAATACTTCTCAAATAAAGTGGTTGTTTAAGAAGTGACAACAACAAAGCAAGTGATGCTTGCTGTTCCTGTTGATGGGGCTCATGTAGCTCATCCTCTGTTGCCATTATGGCCTTCCCCTTGCTGTCAGAGGTTGCAGACTCCGGCAATACTGCTTGTGGCAGACTGAAATCAAGAAGAATCTTTGCAACAAAAGGATGATGACGAGCTAAGTACGTGAGGGTTTCTAAAACACGCCGAGATACCAAAGGAGGAACACCTGTACATAGGAAAAATTCCAAATATCAAGCCATGTTTCAGAAAAACATACTACCAACTAAGAAAGCTCCAAATAATGGTGTGCATGCACAAGGGAGTACCAGAAAAACACTGCACGATGGTAGTTAAACAAGCTTCAATCAAACAAATCTTCCTAAAGAATACATTTAAAGGAGGCCAGTTCACTTTACAAAGGTAAACGGAGTTGCATATTTTTATTTCCTGAAACTGTAATTAAATACCCATTAACCAGATCCCACTGTACTCACTAAACAGAATATAAATTACAAAGACCTGGCATATTTAAAGGGCCTGCATTAGATACATGTGCATTACGGCTCGGAAACAGTAGGGGAAAAAAGAAACTATCATGCAGTTTCTAAAATCAATTCATCTAGGAATCTAAACAGCTAAGGCAAGATCACATGGTATTGAGAAGCAAGAAAAAAAAATCCATCCCAATTGGAAACTCAAAGAGTCTACATCATAAAAAAGAAATAACTCACCATCAACATACTGAGGGCGAGAATATGTCACATGGCTCTGGCAAGCATAAAGCCTGTAAAGGGGCTCGGCAGCATTGAGACCATGGGAAGGCTTTCTTATATCCAGCATTAGAAGGTCCATGAGGATTTTGACCAAAGCTTTTCTTGTATCAGAGTGAGCACAAAGGTTCAAGAGAAGCCTCTGCAGCTGACCTTTGTAAAGTGGCTGCCAGAGTATCCCAACAGTCCAGTTAAAACATGGAAAAAGATTTCAAAAAAAAAAAAAAGAAAGTATGAAAAAATATAATTGATTACCTGCACTACCCGAAGCAAACGAATCATTGCTTTCAGATCTTCTGTGTCAACTAAAGGCAAGCCATCAGCCTCAATTGGCTTACTTCCAGTTGATCTTCGAGCAAGGATTCCACTACCTCTGTCCAAACCTTCACCACGTCTTGAAGATTCACCTCTTCGGTTCCTCGGATACATTCCAAAAATCGTCCGATTATATCTACGTGCAAACCTTTCACGTAACATATTTGCTTCAGCAACTAAGGCTGGTGTCAGATTTGCAAGAATAGCGTCAGAGGAAGTCAAAAGGACCTGGGAAAGCCACCAAACAAATAAATGATGAAAGATCAGAATGGAAACATATAACAAAATTAGAACAAAAAATATTCAAAATAACAAAGAAATTAAAACAGAGCAAATGAAGGAGACAGTGTCTCCGACGGAAATGGTGCAACGGAAATACACACCTCTTCCCGTATTTCTGAAGGAAATGTTGCAATGATGGAAACAGTGTCCATTTCAACAGGTTGGCCTTCCAGCTCCTGTGATTGGTGGAGTCTTTGGGCTCGTTGTTGAGCCAGGACTTCTTCTCGGATCTCAGGGGGAAGGGCAGCTAGAAATTCGGGATCAATATCACCACCATTCTGTGGCTCAGAATTTTGAGGCTGGGGTGCTTGACCCTGCTGAGCAGAAAGAACCTCAGCCCGCAACTCCTCAGGAAGCGCTTCAAGAAATGCAGGATCTATTGATCCTGAGTCAGCATCAGCATTACGTTGACCTTCAGCTCCAGCACCTTGCTCAGCTTCTTGACTAGGGTTTTCAGAAACCTCAGTAACACTATGAAGAGGAGCATCCCTTGCACTTTGAGGTGCGGCATTTCCAAATGATACATTGGTCCTTCTCGTTCGATCCCCAGCACCATCATCATGGCCATCAGCACTCCCAATTTCAACATCCAAACTCCGAAGACTCTCACCCAAAGTGGCACCGCTACCACTACTTTCTTGACTGACAGCTTCAACATCCCTCGCTACGTCATTTTGCTCAAACTGCATCTCAGAAGATTGAGTCTGTCTGCATGAAGCATCTCCCTCTTGTGATGATTCATTAGCTACATTAGCAGCATCAGGAACAGCAGGGGTTTCCACCACAGTGGAAGAAGTAGGAGCCTCGTTTCTACTACCAGTGTTGCCATCATCTCCTGCTCCTGTCATCATTCCTATAGATCCAGGGACCTCTTCTGTACTTTGTGGTGCCACCACAGTGTTTTGCTCAGGCCTCTGAGGAACAGGGCGCCTCAGCTGAGAAACCAATAATTCTTCAAGACCTTGAGGCATCGCAGATGCATTAGATACACCAGTTACCTGGCTATCGTTAGCCCACAAATTAAATCGGTGCCCATGACGCCCATTTCTAAGTGAACGGAAATAGGAATCTACACGAGATGAGGTTGCCTCCAAATTTCTCTCAGCATAAGTATCACGACTATTCCCTGAAAACCAGAAATACAATACAGATCAGTGCCAAACAACCCAAAAAAACATACATGTAATCATGTGCAGCAAACTAAAATAAATGTAAACTTTCTGAGCAAAATAAATTAAAAGGAAAAAAAACTACCAGATAGAGTACCTAATTGTGAAGAAGATGGCTCTACTAAAAGTGGATGCTGAGAAGGAACAGTGATATCACCACTTCTACCCAAAAGATTGTATATGGATGTAGTCCGACCTTGACGGCGGGAGCCAAAAACTTCAACAGGCATGACATGCAGCGTTTCACTGGAAAAGCTATTTTCCCTGCCGAAAACTTCAATGTGATCAAATAAATTAATGCCATTCATTCCACCTTCCAATCTCAGGAGTACACCATCCTCCTCATCGTCATCATCTTCCTCCTCTTCTTCCAATACCTCCTCGTCAAACTCATCTTCATCCATTTCATGGTCATCTTGATCTGTATCATGGTGGGGCAGGTGATGCACTTCATCTTCTTCAAGAACATTGTGCTCCTCTTCATCACCATCTTCATCAACTTCATCAACATCATCACCTGACATCTCATCATCTTCATCATCTTCCTCTTCATCTTCCTCATCTTCTTCATCAATACTCTCTTGCATATCTGGCTGAATTTCAAACCTTATCGCCACAGAGTCAAGGCCATTCTCCACAACCCTATCCTCAGAATTTTCATGCATGTATTCATCTTCAGCATCGGCAAATCCTCCAGTAATATCCTGGTCATGCTCCATGTCATCTGTTACAGCCTCAGATCCACCAAAATTCTGAAGTTCACTGAATGACTCCACGTTCTCAGCCGGTGACATAATAGCATTATTTTGGGGCACCATTTCCATCGACTGGGACAGATCACCAGTATTATCTGTTTCTCTGGACTGAATATTAGCAGCAGGTTTCCCTGACTGCTCCCCTCTCCCTGCATTTAAATCTGTGGCATGGACATGCTCCTTTGTCACCAATTCTAAAACTTTCACAAGTCCAGTGACCACCTTCGGTGACTCAGCATGATCCAGATCTAAGACATGAAGGACTCTGGTTAAGGATCGAACAAGACCGACATCAACAAAAGTAACTGATGCCTCAGCTGAAACATATGAACCAGTAGGACTGCGAGCTGCCAGCACATCATTGAGGAAATCAACAAAAGATTGAATATCAGTGTCAGGACCCCTGAACCCTTTAGATGCTTCCACAAAATCATTCAAAACGTAGCTTATCTCAGTAAAGATTCTCTTCCGTGCTTCTGTTGAACGAACACAAGATGCAACCAGGAACTGGTTACCTCTGCTCGCAAGTTTATGCCTCCAATCCACATCTGTCTTCCTTTCCTTCCTAGAATTTTTTAGATGCGGTAAGAATTTATGAAGAATATGGTGGAAAATTCCAGCTGTAGAACCCCGTTCTGGCCTGTAGCTACCAACTTCAGAATCTTTCCGGAGCACAACATGAATAGAAGATGCATACATCAGTAGAATCTCAGTAAGAAGCTTCAATACGAACACAATCTTTGCCATGGTAGCCGATGAGTCCTGCTCACCGGCCTCTTTTCCCTCTGATGAAGCAATTGCTTTCCCCTTGCCTTTTGCTCCAGACGCATCAATGTCCATGTCAGCCAACAGTGAGCTCTCTTTCATCGACGATTCTTCTTTTACAGGAGGCTCAAAAGTAATAATTGTATCCAACAAAAGCTCAATAACAGATACAAAGCTATGAGGAGGTCTCCTGTGATGAGCTTTGGCATTCTTTGAAGCTGTGTCAAGAAGTTTTCCATGGCCAGGAGATACAGAACTCATGTTACCCAGATTAAGTTTCCCTTCACTGTTCTGTAATTTTTCTTTCTCCTCCACTTTCTCTTTCTCCTTATCCTTCTCTTTCTCCTTTGATTTCTCCTTCTCCCGATCTTTCAGCAACACTACATATGGCCTCTCACCAACCATCTCAATCTGGCACACAGCCTGAGCAGCTTTCATAAAAATCACAGGGTCACGCTGAATAACAGTGGTCAAATTTGACAGAAAACTGCGAGGTGTGAGCCTTCCAGTAGACTGCCTATTGGCTGCAGTTGCAACACTATGCTTTATTTCAGATTCCATTGCTTGCTGAAGGGTCTGGGGATCTTCAAGAATATGCCTAATTATGGTAGCAGCAGCATTGTCAAACCCAACAAACAGGCTACTAGTTGGCAAAGCAAGCAGCGACTGCAGACCACCAGCATCAAGGAAATTCACTGCAACTGAATGGGTCCTTGTCAGAGTAGAACATAGCTGCAAAACAGCATGCATAGAATCCGAAGGAAGCTGTCTCTTGATACAAGCACAAGCTATTTCAATAAGTCCCTTTTGTTCCTCCACACCCAAGTGCTTTGAAGACGAGCCCAACGTTGCCTGCAGCTTGTTCTGTCTATCCTCATCTATGACAACTGATGTCTGACTGCTAATCTCATCCTTCTTCAAAAACTCTGAAACATCAATATTTAACTTCTGATCAACCTGAGCAAGACGATCAATGGCAACGAATGCGGCTGTTACCCATTTGGGAACTTGAGATGTGTCCTGATTGAACGAAGCTGCATTCCAGTTTATAAGGAGATCTGATGCAACTTTAACCAGGCCATTGTTTGCAGCAACTTCCCGAGCAGCAGGATCTTCATTTAACATCAAGGCAAGAACATGGAAAACAGAAGAGAGCATGCTGCTGTTTCCAGTTTCAGAAATATTACAACAAAGCTTCACCTGGTCAATTAAGAAAGAGATAACATGGGACCGGTTATGACCATCATTCTGAGAGCATATCATCAGCAGAAGGCCCCTAACGGGGAAAGCCAGAGAGTCCTTCATTTGCAGAAGCTTCCTGCAGGTTGTAAGTAAGTCATCAATAGGAGGCAGTTGAACCAAATCTTCATCGACAGATTGACTAGATTCATTTGTGGTCTCGTCATTTGTCTCTGATCCAGGATTCCCAAGGGACATAGCAAGTGCACGGGCAAGTTCATCATCTTCTTGAGTTTCCTCTGGATGTGAGAATAACCATTCCATTGCCAACTCAACACTGTTTGAACCAACTTGTCTCAAAGCCTCTTCAGCCCGGGGCCGCGAAAAACCCATCTCGACGATTGTTGAAATAGTTGATTCATTTGGGGGAGGGCCTGCCAACCGGGTTAAATTGCTATTGACATTTTTCACTTCGACTCCAGAGTAAACATGTTTGATAATGCTTATAAGTGTGGCAATGAAATCATGATTGCATTCTGTGAATTGTGGGTGAGACCAAACAGGCAGCACTGCTTTCAGTATCATAGATTGCAGGATCTTAACAAATGTCTCAGCATCTCGAGGAAATGAAACATCCCCACTTACTAAAGGCTGAGTAAGCAAGTGCTTTGTAAAAGGAGATAAAATGAAAGATGAAGTTGCCAAATGGTCCATAAGTTTGCCATAGCTAGCTAAAGGACCATATATCCATGGCTGATCTACTTCTTCTACAGTATCCTGCCTCATCGATCCTTCATCAGTCTCCATGGGAGAAGGAGGGGCTCTGTTGACAGTCAAAAGCAATTGACTGGTAGCTTCAAATGTGGTCAAGATTGACTGGATCACCCCACGTCCATACAAGCAGTTCAAAATAACCGGATTACACGAATCGGGCTTGTCAAGTAAAATGCCATCAATAAACTCGATCACCTTGCCAAAATAGCGACATTTAGTAGATATAGATGCCTCTGATCCACCTGAGCTTACATGGCCTCCAAAGTTCATATGATCCAATGCAACTAAAGCAAATGTAGAAGCAACTGATTTTGAAGAAGGAGATACGTTGAGCATATCATCTCGTCGACGAGCTGGAAGAAGCATTACCTTTCCCAACTCTTGAAACAAATGGGTTATATGAATTGATAATGATCTCATCATATCACAACAAGAATGATAATAGGATCTCTGCCTGTCCTCGTCCTTCCCTCCACTAGGATCACTTCCATTTGTAGAAACAGACGGCTGAGATTGATGACTAACCCCAGAACGTGAATTAGAAAGATCTACCCCCTGTCGTTGCTGAAGACCTGAAGCACGAGAGAGATCACGATATAGATTTATGAGATCAAAAAACTGTGATTCCACACTCCATCCAGACGTCCTTCTTCTAAGCAATGGATCGAGAAACTGCCTGAAAGAGTTGAACCGTTGCTCTTGGGAATCAATCATATCAATCTCAGTCTGCTGTGACTCATCAGCAGAGCCAGCAACATCATCTTCTACTTCTAATTTTGTATCTTCAAGAAGAGCAATCTGCCACAGGACCTCACGGTGAATTCGGCCAATATCTTCTAAGACAGACTTGCTTTCATTCCCAAATTCTGTAAGCAATGCCGTTACCCAGCGATTGTCTTTTGAGGCCGCCAGAAATAAGAGGAACTCAATTATAAACAATGAGGAAAAAAGTCCATTATCTGGAATCACCTTAGGATCCAGCAGAAAAGATCCAGAAACATCAGCGAATCCAGCTAAAGCCTTTTTCAGATTGTCCTTGAGGGAAGAACAGAAGGCCCGGGCTAAAGGTGCAGAATGATGTTGAGCAAAACTCTTAAAAACCATAGTGCTGTGTAGTGCTATAGACATTCCTTCAGAAGACTGTGTAACACTTGGCCTCAGAAGAAGTTTGAACAAAGCTTCAATTCCTGACTTTTCCACAAATAACCTACAGGTTTCAGAATTTTCCAGTGTCCTGTGGACAAGCACCATCACATGGAAGATGCTCAACTGAATAAATTGTTCATTCGTAACTCCTTCAGAAGTTGAACCAGATGCATCAACCAAGCTGCAAGGACCCATGTTTTCCTTATCCTCAGAATCCATCTCCATAGCAGTACTTCCATTAGAATTTCCTGATGGTTCTACAGCCTTAGCATCGCCAAGCATAGCAATCTTATTAATAATTTCAATGATCAGATCAACACCAGTAATTCGCAACGAGGAAACATGGCGCAGAAGCTCTTCCACTGCATTTGCCAGAGGGACAATACCTTCATTCATGGAGACCACATATTTTTTGTCCGTAAATATTTCAACAAGAAAGCGTAGTGCTGAAGTTTCTTTCACAGCCTCCAAACCCTTGGCATTAAGACAAATTGCACCAAGACCATTAGGAACACATGTAAGAGCCTTTGAAGAAGGTAATATACCAGTCACGACTGATGAAAGAAAAGCATTAGGAAGACCCATATCATGCAGAGCAGGATAACATGTAGGGTCTTTATGAATCATTTCACTCATGACTGTGACAGTAGAGTAATAAATATCACCTCCAAACTTTTCCACATTGCTGAAAATGACCGATAAGGTGGCAGGTAAAGAACCATCAGACGTATTCTGGGATCTTGTTGAATTTGCCGGGGCATAAGTAGCAGAACCAAGTGCCTTCAATAACACCCTGATGAGCCTTTTCTGAGAGTGAATTTGCTCAGCATTAGACTTGGAGCATTCACCAATAGCCATAGAACTCTCACCAGCTCCTCCTGCATCAATCACTCTGCGTACTTCTATCTCCAATCTATGAGCCAAAAGTTCCACCCCACCTAAATCCTTGAAAAGTGTCACAGCTGCATTGCTGTAATCTAGGAGCTTTTGCAGAGTTTTGACTGCTAAACACACAAGATGCAAGTGCATTGGATCAGTATCCTCCAAAAGTGGTAAAAAAGCAGGAACCATCCCTGAACCTCTAACCACACTCCCAGAACTTGAAGATGAAATGACATGAAGCAAATAGAACTGAACAAGTGCTTCCACAAAGGCAACAGATGAAGGATCGCTAGAGCTATTCAGTGATAATATTGCTCTTTGAAGAACGTTCAGAAGAATCGTCCGATTACCACCTGCAAAGCTTATGCTTGAACCACTCAAAATACGAGCCCGCTCATGGGACGAGGAATATGCAGCGAGTTGAGCCCCCAGAGCATTCATTGAAAGCGTTCTAATAGCACCAGATATGTTTTCTTCACACCTCACAATCCTGATTAACTCATTTGTATATTCAGGCTCATTCGCAAAAAAAGAAACAAGTTCATCATGAGAATCACTAGATTGGACAAGCACAATGAAGGAAAGGAGACATATCTTGGTGTACAGCCGGCATATTCTTGGAGAACGAAATGCATGCGCATATCTGATTCTGGTCAGTAAAGAGAACCGATGCTCAGGGGGCACATTGTACTCTTTTAGACACCAGCTCATGAGGGACAGATCATCCTCTTTCCTCAGATGGAGATCTGGTAGGTGAATTACACTCGTGGATGAAGATGCTAAGCCATCATTTACATTTTCAGAACTTTTACCACCATGCAATTCATAATAAAGTGTTGATCCCAGTGCTTTACCAGCATCCGTCTCAACATCAGATGGGAACAAAGATAACCCTTCCTCTTGGCTCCTTTCATTGATCGTAACACAAGAGTACAATCCCAATCCTTCTTCCTTGCTTCCCCACCCTTGTGCAAGAGATAAAAGGCAACTATTTACCGACCCACATCCAACCAACTTCCCACTCGCATGCAGTTTGGACGGATTTATCTTAACCAGTGCAGACAATGTCTCTAGAGTTGCAATAACGATTTCGGGATCAGTTGAAGCAAGCAAAAGCTTGAAATGCTGAAATCACAGGAATAAAAAGGCAGATCAGAACAGAAAGTAGCAAGTGCAACTGACAATTCATATCAGTAAATAAATCATAAGCTCAAGGGGAAATACAGTTTTATAACTTTCGGTAAGTGCAAAAGAAACGGCATCTAACTCACCTCTAAACCACTAAATGAACTCTTATTATGGCAATTTTCTAAAATGATTTCCATAACCCGCAAAATCTGGAGAACTGCTTGCTTCGGAAATGGGTTAACATCTACCAGACTATCAGATAAGAGGAGGTCATTTCTACAAGATATGTAAGCCTTGAAATATGCATCAAAATGATGAAACAATGGCCTCCAGTGATGAAAATTTCCCTGAAAAGAAAAATAAGCTGCATCAGAAAAGGAGAAGACAGGGAAAGGGAGAGAAGACTGGCAACAGAAAGATATAGAAATAAACCATGTCGTCCATATCCGACCTAAAGGAAGAAGGGATACAGAGAAAGGAGGGAAAAACTAACCTTGCCATACTCCCACCGGAACCCGGAAAGAGGTATAGCTATATCCGGTAATGGGCATTGGATCACCTTATCTATAAATGCTTTAACTTTTTTAGGCTGCATAACAATTACGAAGAATCAGATTATGCACAGGGATGATGACAAGAGGCATTCATGTGCAAATAATAAAAATTCATTCAAACAAGGATATTTATGTCATACCCAGATACATGATAGAGATATAAAACAAACTAACGAGGCTAAAGTACAGATCACATGTACCAAGGAAGTGGTATCTCGTCAGGAACAACGTGACTGTTTATACATCAGTCAAGTAACGGAAATGGATAATTTAGCTTCTTTCCACTTGAAAAATGTAATTCAGCATCTATAACTGTTGTACATGACCATTCTAGACCACTTACAATACTCCCACATGGCAATATGCTTTTTGCGTTTATACAGGCTGAAAACAAACATACTTCAAATACTCCCGCACAGTAATATGCCTTGGGTGCGTAACCCTATAAAAAGTTACTTCAGCAAATACAAATGTCACAGATCCTTCTTTACTTCTTAGAGCTTTTTCTCTAAAAAATTATATTTACAGCTACAATAATAAAAACCACAATATAATATGTAACAATTTAAGCAAGTAAATCAAAACTAGTGCTGATCCACAGATTAGATTAACTCAGCATTTGTAGAGCATTTGTAGGATTGACAGCATACTGAACAAGAAGTGTAAAGCCTGAGTACTTCTGAATAGAGAAATTGGAAGGACCAAACAAAGACATCATTGGACAGATTAATAAAAACACATGCTCTCAACCCTAAACATCCACCATAGAAAATTTGCCTGATGTGACATTGAGTTGCTAGACTACTCATATTGAGCGACTCCAATGGCAGGGAAGGAAACAATGCCATTCATTGTATTCGAGTTACATTGAGTTGCCAGACTACTTAATACTTACTTATATTGAGCCGCTCCAATAACAGAGGAAGGAAATAATGCCATTCAAAACTGAACAAATCAGAAGGCAGAAGGATAAACCCTACAGCAATGCTATATTAAAACCTTAAGAAAGAAATCTACTCAAGACCAAAAATGATATACTGATTTTCGACTAGTAACACCAACTTAGTAGTACATTACAGGTAGGAGAGCAATGACATGCAATCTTTCATCTTGTAAATTATGGAATCAAATCTCAAATCAATTCTATAAAATACATGTGTTTCCACTAAGTTTAACATAACTTAATCATTTAACACTCTTGCTATTTTTGGTCATTCCATAAATTTCAGCTTGTTGCAGAATGCGGAAAACACTTGACGTCTTCAATGGAGATCCATTTCGAAATAATTATCAGTAATTTTTCACATCCAGTTTCCAGGACAGAAATTAATTTTGAAACTAATTTGCAATAGCTTCCATTTATAGATTTACAAATGGTCCACTTCCAGCAGAGGCTTGCCTTCACACCAGATATCAAATATTCAACAATCTATTGTGATGGTTTCCACGTATTTTGATTAAATAAAACAATAAATATAAAAAAAAGTCACTTTTTTGTAAAATATTCAGTCGAATTTGCTAAAACAAATACACACCAAAACTGCATTCTGCTTCATCAGAATACATATGCTACCAAGCCACACACAGTTAAGAAGTTTCCATCTAAGCATAAACACAATGTACATCAGAAAGAAAAAAATATACTTACAATTTAATGATCATATTAGAAATATACACAAAATAACATTACTGTGTGAAATTAAACCCGGCAAGTCATCTGGATAATCTCAAGATAAAGCGAAAGATCAACAATATTCATGTTTTATACCACCACTGGGAAGTGAAAAACCTTTTGAAGCAAAGCATCAATCACAAAAAAAACAGGATATCAAGTAACAGCACACACAAACTATCTTCCCCCAAAAACACACAAAAAAAAAAGAGCATATCACGAATTCTGAAAGGCATAAATGGTTATAAATGTTTGCTTCTTCAACCCAATATAAAATGCCTGTGTCAAGACCCAAGCAAACCAGCTTCATGCAACCATAACAATTTTTTGGGACCAAACTGCAATGCCCGTGTCAAGACCCAATTAAACAACTATCAACCAGAGGCTTTTAGCCTATGTCCAATCCACAAAAACATCTTTGATAGTTTAAACTTTAAAATAACAAATTACATCAAATAACCCCCCTCTTCAATACTCACTCAAACACACCCTTCACTCACAAGAACCCAGGCAGAATATTTAAAACAACTTTAGAACCAGAAGCAAAACATGCACAAAAGTGAACAAGTTCAGTATGAGAGGAGAAACACGTACAGGCTCAGAATACAGCTTCACAGAGGGACCGATTGCTCCTTCGCCAGAAAGAAGTTGCCGCAGCCTCGACGGCAAGGTCGATCTCAGGCTATCCATATCAACAAAACCCTACTGCCCTATTCTATTCAGTATTTACTGCACCGCCAAAGACAAAGACAAAAGAAAACCAACAGGAAAATCAATACAAACTCAAACCGAATCGAATCCAACAATTCCAAAAATCAAATTACTAAAACCCTAAAAAATCAATTTGTGGCGGTAACGAAACAATTAAAACGACAGAAACAAGTCTATATAACCCCAAACTTCACGCCACTGTGTGAGTGCGTGGAAAAGACCTAGACAATTTCAAAAACAATAATAATAAGAAAAAAAGGTCGCTGACCTGCAGAAAGGCGAAAGCTTTGGACATTGAAACTGTACAGAAATCTTGGAGAAGATTTGGGGATAGTAAAATTGTGAGAGAAGAAAAGAAAAAAAAAAAAAAAAAGGGATAAAAATAGGTTAAATAGAGAAGTAGAAGAAGAAGAAGAGAAAGAAGAACTTGGTGTAACCCTGAAGAGAGAAAGAGACTTGGGGGAGTGAGGAAGGGGTTTTTGTTTTTATATAATTCTGGGCGAGGGGTCTTTCTGTAATACACAGTCTTTTTCTTGTTTTCAGAATATAATTTATAAGGCGGTTTTGCAATTTAGTCCCTTCGATTCTAGGCTGTTCTATTTTTCTACCCTGTCATTTTCTAATTGGATTTTGGACTTTTACTACTAATCATCTTTTACTTGTCTATCTACACAGTAATTGCCAGGTAACATTTATTTCCCCTGTGGAAATTTTTAGATTTTGGTGTTTTCTTTTTCGTTTTAATTCTAGAGCAATATCAAGAATTTTGCATTTATCATTATTATCTTTTCATGGAATAAGAAAATAATTTCTTTCGTAATATGTCATCTTAATTAAGTCTTTGAGTGCTTAATGGTTTCACCCCTTAATTCATCTAAACTGCTTAACTAGATGAAACACCCTTGAAAAAAACAACAATCAGTACTTGTAATCAAATTCAAGATTAAGGATTCAAGGCATTAATTTATCAAGAGCTTTGATTTTTATGGCTATATTTTGTATTAAAAAACCATTAATATTTCGAGTACTATATAATTGTGGCAATCTTTTTTTTTTATGAAAAGTGATAGTAGACATTATAATCTTGTCATTTTTATAGTTGTCCATGAAAAAGTCTATATATGCTTTTATAAAACCCTAAAATTGTAATTCATAGTTCAAATTTCTTTATGACAATGATATTTGATGAAAACAATTAATGAGTGAATGACAATACATTATTAATTTGATTGAGATCGGCACTTACGGGAAAAAAAACAAACCACCAACACCAATTACTAATTTCTTTTTTTAGCATGCCTTTTCTTTTTTCTTCAATAAAACTTTATACTAACTTTACAATGATTTGTCCAGCAATAATAATTGGAAAAAAATTACACAACCATTATGTTACAATTACATTTAAAATCTAATTCAAATTCAAAAAAATTTGTCCTTCACTGAATTCAACCGATTGAAATCTGTTCAATTAAATTCTTCAATTGTCGAAAATGTGACATACTAAAATTATATGATTTCGAGCATATCATTTATCTTCCGATGAAACCTCTACTAAACATCACTGAAAGTGTTTTTTTTCCATCTTTAGGGTTCAATAAAGTGAGAAAATAGTTCTTTTTTATAAAATACTCATAAACCCTTCATTTTAAACGGGATTTGATACCTATTCTAAACTTTTAAAAATGTCGACTTAGAACGTTATTGTCGATTTATGAAAATAGGGAATCACATTTCCCTTTATCATTCTCTTTATTATTGGGTATGAGATGGGACAAATTGTTCTCCTACATTCATACTCAAAAGTGACTCGTAATGAACTTTTTCGAGATTGGCATGAACATAAATCACCCAGAATTCGACGCATTCACGGAAATGCTGCATTTGATCAGTCATCAATGCAATGATTTTGTGTGCTTCAAAACCCTGTTCATATGTACCAATCGGGAGATACGTACCTTGTCATCAATTAGCAAAAAAGAGTTGGTAACGAATGTTTAGTTTAATGATACACAATTATGCTTATTTAGGAAAAATGTAGATAAAGGGACCATAAGTCAGTTTATAAATACTTCTTGAATTTTGTCGTCTAATGTTTAATACTTTCTCGTGAAAGTAAGGAGAGTGGGTTGACAATTCATAATATTGGAGTCTAAATAAAATGATTAAGAATGCATCCCAATAATTGGTAGAAGATTTTTTTTTTTTTTGGATGAAAATTGTTAGAAATGAAATTTAATAAATACCTAGTTATCGAGTCTACACGATTTTACATAACCGAGTTTAGAATATAATAAAAAATCATTGCCAATAAAATGATTGTTAGAATTAACTTTTATAAAAACTAAACACACACTCTCTTTCTTTTTAATATTCCTTCCATTTCAATTCAATAGTGATACTTTCTTTTTAGGATTTCCAAAAGTGGGCTGCTAATTATTGCTTCCCTAAATCCTAGGGAACGCCCCCTTTCGACGAATTTACCCTTGTCATAAAATTAAAACATAAAAATTCTTTTGTTTCTTCACTCTAAATCCTCCCAAACTTCAAAAAAAAAAAATCTTTAATCCTATGACTACAATTATAAAAAATCGAAAAAGTATAGGTCGATGTATAGGTGCATTAGTAAATCAAGTACTTTTCTTAATTTTTTTAAGTTTTTTTTTTTTGAAATTTATGAGAAACAAAAAAAAAAAATGGAAAAAGTCTCATTAAGGGCACTCTATAAATATTAATTCTTGAAAGGGGCGTTAAAGTGTCAAAATTCTTATTAAGGGCGTAATATTTATTTCATTAATATATTACCATGCTAATAACTACTTTATCCCGTCTTAAGGTTTTATTTTTTTTATTCTATTAATCTAAACTGAAATTATTTGCCTTCAAAAGTTTATTAAAGCCTACAAAAAAGGATCATACTCCATTCCTGCCCGTGGAAAACTTCAGTGACTGCGATGGAGTCTTATAAATATGTCATATGGATCTGCATTTCAGATAATTGAATATGAAAGATAAAAAGAGGAAGGCCAAAATAATACTAAAACCCAATTCCGTTTTCCAGGGAAAAAAACCGTGAGAAGCATTTATCCGAAACCTGAATTGGATTATTTTGACTCTCATATGCACGACGCTGACCTGATGATCATTTCTCTTCGCAATCTTTTTTTTTTTTTTTATCCTTCCAAAATTCAATCTTGAATGGTAGAGAATTCATATGAATTAATTTTATCTATTGGGTGTACAAAGAATAAAACAGTAAACTCTTGAACTAATTGATGAATCTCAATGATATGTTGTTCTTTCAAAAAAAGGGGAAAAAAAGAATAATCGTGACTTTCAAATGACTATTTATCATGTTAAGGGGAAAAAAAGATATTAATTTATAAGGCTAAAGTGGTCAATAAACTAGTAACAAATATTGAAATTAATACTACGCCCTTAATAAGAATTTCAAAACTTTAACACCCATTTTAAGAATAAACATTTATATCACGCCTTTCATAAGAATTTTCCCAAAAAAATTCAAGTTCTGATTTATATATTAAAAAACAGGGGTTCATGCCGGGTAGGGTGCCCAGAAATAATGCCTGATCGGTGGAACCAGCGTCCTCAACAAACGCTCAACCGACTGTCAAAGCGTCTAAATTGGGCGCTTCTGCCTCCGTTTCGGCGCGTCCTAATGGACGCTTTGTCCGGCCTAAACTTCGGACGCTAATACCGTCATTTAAGCGTCCTAAATTTACGTCTATCATGCGGTGTAAGCTTTTAATCCAGACTCTCTTCCATACGGGTGGGCGTCTGATTAAGACGCTCCTGCCGCCGGTGGAGCGCGATCGACCGGCATTCAACCTGAACAGAATCCTTTTTTTTTTCTAATAAATTTTGAAATAAAAACATTAAAAAGGTTAGAAATATTATAAAATAAATATAAAGAACCGTAGAGAAAGAATATAGAGGGATAGAACAAGTTGAGAGAGGGAAAGAGAGGATTAATTTGTATTATTTCTGCAGAAACTGCTCTCCTTTTATAGAGAAGATAGATACAAGGATAAAAATAAATAATGATAATCTCTAACTATGATAATATCTAACTATCCGTTTGATAAAAATTAATTTGGGTCTGAAGTCTGAAATCTGAAAACTGAATTATAAGTACTGAAATAATTATGTTTGTCTTGTTTGATAAAAATCAAAGTACTGAATAAAAGGTCTGGAATCTGAAGTCTGAACACTGAAATTTAAAGTATCTCAACTTATAATTTTTATCTAAAAAATAATTGATGATATATATATATATATAAAACTATGATAATAAAAATAATAGTATTATTATAAAATTATGTTATAAAAATATTCAAATTTTATTATGTAATTATTTTTCTAGTTAATAATGATATCATATCTTTATCATTGTTAAAAAAATATCACATCTTTATGATAAATATATATTTATAATGGACTTTATTCGTATTTTATTTTTTATATTAAAATAAATATTTATTAAATAAAAATAATTTTAATAAATTTTAATTTATAACTAAACACCAAGATTAATAAAAATATTTCAAGAATAAAACATCAAAACTATAAACATAAAAGTAAATAAATAGAAAAAATATCGTCTCCGGAATTCAGTTCAAACATGAGTGATAGGCCTATCACTTATTTTTATATTCGTATTTGTACTAGTATTTCATACTCACTTAATTTATTAAGACATCATAATTTGAGTTATCAAAAGCACTTAAAATTTAAGTCCTTAATTAGTTAAGTTCTTAATCAATTAAGTTGTTATAAGATTTTGTTATCAAACATTGCAATCAATTAAGTACTTAATCAATTAAGATTAAGTGCTGAATTGGTTTATCAACAGGGCCTAAATAGTATCTCTGAACAGTTGATTCCTTGTATAACTCTTCTGACTTGTGGACATCCACATTAAATATTTATAACATTTCCCCTTGGATATCCATTTCTTGAGATAATGCCTCGTTAAAACCTTTAATAGAAAAAACCTAGTGGGATAAAAATATAATAAAGAAAAAAGAGTGCATTCTCAGATACGACGCTGCCTCGTGAAAAACCTTGTTAAGAAAATCCATTGGGACAAAACCTCGATCAAGGGAAAAAGAGTATAACGTGGGGTTACTCCTCCTGCTGAATACATCACTTGTGATCTTCTCACTCTATGCTAAAATATTGACCAATGTCACCAGTGTTGAAACCAATAATATATGGATTTTTTAAATAGTCACTTCGGCTTCTTACGCAGACGATCATCTTCACATACTATTTATAATCTTGAGTGCTTCCGGAAAATAGAGATTCATAACCATCGTACACCGAATGTA